GAAAATGGGCTGGACGCATGCATACCCCTCCCTGACAGCCAGATCGACTATCGTCTCTCCCTTGCAGTATCTTAATCGCCGAGGCTGGGGGTTGATATATCCGTAGTTCCCAGCATATATACGCTTATAGCCTCCCCCAACCACTTCCAACAACCCGATAGTCTATAGGGACAGATCCATATCGAAACAGGAAGACCATGGTTCGCAGATTGAAGCTATCCGACCTTGGAAATCCACACCCTTTGCGTCGTTACGACCCACATGTTACTGGGATGCAACCCTACCTATCTTAGTTCAGGAGGTTGCCGTTGCGATAGCCAAAGCCAACCTTTCTCTCCATAGAAGTGGCAAGACGCTGCAATCGGAAAGCATTAGGGTTATGATTGATCCACTGGTGGCGTCCCTCACTACTCCTGGTATCCAGCCTGTTGATATTAGAATGTCACCGTTGGACGTTACAGGCATCAACGGATGACGAACCATATCTGTCGTAATGGGTTCCCACCTTGAAGACAAAAGAAGAAAATGTAAATCATGTAGGCTACATTGATACGAGGAGGAAAAGATAAGTGGGGTACAGAGAGGTAGATAGATGCAAATCACGACGCACCATCCGATGGCATTAAAGTGTAAAAAAAAAAAAAAAAAAAAAAAAAAAAACAACAACAACAACAACAACTATAACACACCGATAACACTCACCACAAAACTAGGGATCATTGTTCACCATGACAGGCCGTAGTTAGATCGTTTGAAAAGGCAGTCTCTAGATACAGTATTGAGAGATGCATCGACTAAGTCAGCCTGCAGGAGCCTACATCCAATCATCCTCGCATTTCCTGCATCTCAACACTAAAGTAGAGGCAGGCCATGTACGATGACAGCTGACGAGTAAGGGCCACCTACTTAACTCATGCATCAATCGTGGCTTGAGATTCTTTGACAAGCCGATCGGGATCAGAGACATACCTAAGGCACCTACCCAAATCATTAGCCGTATGAAAAATGGTTAAGCATACAGCACACCCCCCCACACATATACTACAAGTGGTGAAAACTATAGGATTCCTTTATAGTGACTGCCATTTCTTTCTCTCTGACGATAACTACTATCTCAAGTCGTGCAGCTGGGTCATTATCTTCTTCGTATGGCTGTTTTGTCTTGTCATATAGAAAGGGACATGGGCTCCATTAATAGAACAAGGAAATTCAGGACTCCACACACGCCATCTCCCGATCCCCGAATAAGACAAGAGAGAAAGGGGTTGAGCACACTGGACAACAAAAGGGCCGATTTCGCCGGAACGGGGAATTAATCAGAATAGGTTTCGCATCTTGAAGATGTCATCAAGTCATTCATTCCCTCTGCTGCGGCCGTAATGGGTCATGGGTGTATCACAGTCCATCACATACATGAGAATCACTAGCTGGGAAAGGAAAAAAAGGAAATGAAGCAAGGAAAAGAATAATAAAAACCGAAGGGCATGAGCAACAGAGACGAAAGAAAGATGGCACACAAACTTTTCAACATGTCAGACAAATTCAGCAGCGGCTAGACGTAAACCAGGCATTGGGCCTGATTGGGAAAAATCGCAAACCAAAGGAGAAGTCGGAGAGAGAAACGGAGGCAAACAGAAATTAAGGAGAAGGGAAGGACACAGCCATCACTGTAACCAAAAACGAAAAGGGCGAGGGAAGAGGAAACAAGCACAAAGTCATTCTGGCCATCTCGGCGCGGAGGAGCTGTCGAGGCAGATCAAACCTCATGCGTTTGAAACAGACAATAAGGGAAACAGAAAGCCCTGCCGCACCGGGATAACCGGTGGACTTCGGCCGAGTGATGACTGGCTCAGGGGGTATCGATAGATCTATGCGAACGAACGACCAGACTGTCCGCGGCGGTTGTTGCGCGGCTTGGAGCTCACGGTGCTCCAGCCCTCGTCGTCGGCGGCGGCCGGGGCGGCCGTCTCAGCCGGGGCGTTCCTCCAGCTGCCGTTGGCTTGACCCTCCTTGGGGGCTTCGGTGGGGGCAGCGGCCGCCTTCTCCGGCTGATCCTGATCCGCAGCATCACCACCCTCTTCGTCGCCGGCCCGCCGGAGGATCTCGAAGCTCTTGCCGCCCTGGGGCGCCTCGGCGTTGGCCTTGGAGTCCGTCGAGGCGTCCGGCTTCTCCGTCTTGGCCTGCTCCTTGGCGGCCTTTTGCTTCTCAGCTTTCTCAGCCTTGGCCTTCTCCTCCGCTTCCTTCTTCTGGCGCAGGGCCACCTGGCGGCGCTCCTCCACCTCCCTTTCCTTCGTGGCCGTGTCGATGGGTCGGGCGCCACCGAAGGGGCTGGCCTTGGAGTCGCCGGTGGCGGACGGGCTGGACACGGGGTCGGCGACGGTGCGCTTCTGCAGGTTCAACCTGGGCCGCGAGGCGGGGGCCGCGGGGGCCGCGGGCGTGGCCGCAGCGGGAGCCGGCGACGGCGGGTTGCTGGGCTCCTTGGGGGCCGGGGGCTGATCGGGTCGCATGCGGGACCTCCACGAGTTGTCCATCTCGGCGGCCGTGGGCGTGCGCTCCTGGAATTCGCGTCGGGGGGGTCTCGAGCCGTCCTGGGAGCGTCCCTCATGAGAGCGACCCTCGTGGGAGCGTCCCTCACCCCAGGCGGGGGAGTTTCGTCGGAAGCCGGGGCCTCCTTCGTTGGTGAGAGGGCGGCCGCCTTCCCTCATGGGAGGGCCAGTCGGGCCACCGGCGGACGGCGACAGAGGGCCCTTTCGCTCCCAGTTGCCAAAGTCACGGACTTTGCCGTCGGACTCAAAGCCGCCACGGCGTCCGCCACGGTCTTCGCCGGCATCCGAGAGATTATCGAGATTACGGCCAAACGACGAGCGATCGGGGACACGGCGCGCGGGCGCATCGGAAACAGGAAGAGGTCCTCGGCGAGTCCAGTCGAACTCCTTGACATCACGCTCCTTGGCTGCAGGCAAAACCGTCAACATGCAAACCCCGGGCGGCGGGGAGGGAAGGGCAAGAAGCTACTTACGAGGTTCGGCGATGCTAACACGGATGGCACGGCCTTGCAGGGTCGCGCCCGAGAGATCCAGAGCCTTCTTCAGACCCTCAACGGTCTCAAACTCGACGTAGCCAAAACCCTTGGGGGCCTTGGTCAACTTGTCTTCCACGACGCGGACGTTGGTCACGGAGCAATCCGCAAAGAGATCGCCGATGTCGCCCGCAGTCGCATCGAAGGACAGGTTTCCCACGTGGACGGTGTAGGGAGGCTGAGTCGGAAGAGGAAGGGGCTCCCTCACAGCGTAGCCACGATCTTTTTGTCGCCACCACGGTTAGAAGGGAAACAGCCAAAACCAGGGTCAGGGCGAGGTCCATACCATTAAAGGACGATCCAAAGCCAGAAGAAGAGGGCGCAGGACGACGATCAAAGCCACCGGAAGAGGGGACTATCTAATGTAAGATTCGTGATCTCCACGTCGGGGAGGGGAAGAGGGATGCGATTGCTGGGGGGGAAGACCAGACGGTTGGCCAGAACATACCGGCTGTGGGAAGATTCAAATTAGCAACGAAAAAAGGAAAAAAAAAAAAAAGAAAAGAGAAGAAAAGATCAAATCAAATCAACCACAACCCAGGCGGGACTTACCAGGCATCGGCATCTCATCCATCTCATCAGCCCACGATCCAAGACCTGATTCCATTAGTCTGATGGTTCTCCGCAAACAGGGCACGGAAAAAACCTACTGTCATCAGCCAGGAAGGTGCTGATCGACATCTTCTGGGCCTTCTGCTTTCCAGGCGCTGTTCACACACATCATGATCAGTATACAGTGTCGATCAAACAGTTCCTCACCGTGACAAATCAACTAGTGAGGAAGTGGAGGGGGGAGGGGTGGTCAGAACAAACCCATGATTGCGGTTGTACGGGGGGGGTGGAGGGAAGTCAGGTAACGCGCCAAGGGCAACTGTGCGCGTTTGAACACAGAAAGAGGAAGGATGAAAAAGAAGAGAAAAAAAGACTTCCAACAAGGAAGATATGAAGGGATTCGTCGAGGTTGGATAAACAAGACGGAAGAGTGATGGTGGGTTGCAGGTAAGTCTCCGCAGTGAAGAGGAGGAGGGGAAGGAAAGTAGGTTAATCCGCGAGGATAATTTTTAGTGATGACGCTAGAAAAGTCAGCCTCTCAAAAAGTTGTTGGTGCGCTTTTCTCTCTCTGCGCCTCGACCCAGAAACCGAGAGGGCTTCTCTTTTTGATTTTAATTTTGATTTGATCCCCTCTTCCTTTTCTGTTCTTTTTTGACCTCTTTTTATTACTACTACTTTATTGTTACTCTTCTCTATTTTATTTAAATTGTGGAGAATTAAATTGTCTATTGTACTGTCTTCAAGAATAGTAGATACTACACTCGGCAAACTCTTGGGCAACTTAGTACCTCTCGTAGCCGATTATTCAGCCCAGGCACCCGAATGGTGCCTTGATCGAATGTAACCAAATCGTCCTTTGGTCCGGGTTGAATGGTTGAATAGTACTGTCTTGGTGTTTAGATATGATATAGATATAGATATATTTTGTTGTTGTTATTATTATGATTATTCTCTATATTATTACTACTTGTGAACTCAGGGAATACATATAATCAAAGTTGCCTATATCGGATAGCTCGGTCTATATATATACAGTAACTGACTGTGAAAGGTCACCAGGTATAAGAGCAGTCTTCAGTGACACTACACATAACAATCAATTTGACAATACCCAGTTTGCTGGAGTGAATGCAACTGGATATATATGCTGTAGATAATATAACTAGTCCTAGTCTGCCTATACAGTAGGTGTGAACTTCACCTTCACCAACAATATTGTATACAAACACAAAGATGTTGATTGCCAGATATCACAGGCTGCTGCTTTGAGGCCTGAGGTTGCTTCATCTACCCTATAAAAGAGAATGTTTCAATTGTTCCTCCTTTCGCTCTCCTCTGTCCCACCTCTATTCTCTCCGTCGCATTGTATATAGGGTTAGGGTTACTCACGAACCCCAAAAGTGTCATGATATCTTTTGTAGCCGACTCTCTCACCTCTTTCTGAGGCAAGAATGAACTCCACACAGCTGAAGTGTTCCCCCCTCACGCTCCTCATGCACTCGGTCCATTTTCTGTCCCCGTTATTCACTGGTGTCTTTCCTTGTACAGCCCCTCCAAAGTCAGCTCTCTGACCACCAGCAGAGCCGTCTTCATTTCCAGGACCTTCCTGAGCTATTCCCGCCACGATAAGCCCAGCTGATGAGTTACTGGATGAACAGCGACACGGGTTGATAGAGCAATTTATAGACTTATCGACAAAAGTAAAATCCCTCCAGCAGAATGGGCGTGTCTTTGATTCACTGATGAGATTTCACGCAGCCCTTTCAAAAGTATGCTGAGGCGACGGAGTGTAAAATGGCTACTAATATCAACTCCAAGCCAACAACACCAGGGTGCGACGGTTTAAGAAAGAAGCCAAAAGATGCCGAGAGCAAGAGTGATTTGGAGGATAATCAGATATCGGACGAAGATTCCAATGACGAGACACCTAGCGGAAAGAGAAAGCTGATGTCATGAGGAAACAATAGATATAATACCATGTAACTATACCCATCTATCAATAGTACTCATTATTATGGTACCATGATCGACATGCCCGTCTACCTAGGTCATCCATATTGAGCGGGTTGAATCACCGACACTGCTTCTCTGATCGTCGGAAACAAGACCAAGCCTTTTCGTTCAGGGATAATGTAGATCCTGTTGTTTAGCTAGGAGCGAATGTACGAACACCCTCTCTGTTCCTTTACTTTACCAAGGACAGCGACGTGACGGATGATGGGTCTGAAAAGGATCCTTCGGCCCGTTCGACGGAGGAATTCTCCGGAAATTCTCCCGTCGCGAATGGGACCGGTAGGGATGCGTGGGTGACATGCCAGTCGATCATGCAATAAAATCGACCGTACCCTATCGAAGAAAGATATTGTTTCCTTGCGCAGAAGGTCTGATCGATCCTGTGTTTCCTGCAGTATTAATCGTAGTATGACCTGCAGTATTAGTATGATTATGTTCGCTGCGTCTCTTGGCCTGGTAGGTTCAAGATGATAGGTAGGTCCTGGTCAGTGAGCCCAGCTCTCTATAGATTGTGTAAGTGGGAGGATCATATTTGATAGTGTTGGGATTGTGGGGAGTTGACGATGCTTCATTTCCGTTAGGTTAGTCCCGTCTTCCCCTTTTGACTGGTACTAAGAGGCGAATGAGACAACAACAGCCCACTAAGCGGTATATTAATCCCTTTGTCTCCCCATCATCATCAATCCAACAAGAAAAGATAGCGTTGGGCAATTATGTTGGAAGGTGACTGAGATGACCCTGTTCCACAATACGTGCGGTTGAAACGAGGGCTATTGCAACACAGGGTCAGAGCATAACGAAAGCGGCAACCCTTCATGGTTGATATGGTGGTTGCGACATCGTCTCAGAGCGGAGTGAATCCATCCACTGGACTTCGTATCAGGGATAAAAGGCGCCCCTGAAACATTGGGATAGATCCAATTATGAGGTGTCGGGCAGTGGAGCCGTACGATGTTCAGGGATGAATAAAGAACTAAGCTATCCACCGAGAGTGCCCCAAGACGACATGACCTATATTTTCCAAGGACCTGGAAAAATCGGTACGGAGCACATCGTTTCTTGACTCGTTTGATTAGATTACTCTATTTTTGTTCGATTTTACTTTATTTATGTTTTAGTACGAGATAGTTCGTGGAAGGATTAGCCCTGTCAGGCAAATCAATATGCGAGTCGACGTAACTTGGATCTGCGCTTGTCCTGAGGCAGCGATGGTGTGTGGTTGATTGGGGGTCAGTAATCTCGAGTCAGTCGAAGCGTCTGGAAAAGTCTCATCTGTTGGGGACCCGTCCAGACCGAACCATCTGCAGGATTCCGGTGATGTACGAGCATTGATTCAGCCGGACAGGTACTCCGTATAGATCTCACCTACGGAATCATCCTATATGATTTGTCGCAGATGATGATGATGACGGTTGACGGAAGATGACAGGTAGAGAGATGGGGAGTACCTGCGTAATACGGATACTTACCATACGACGTACAGGGTAGGCGGTCAGTCCCAAGGGGGTAAAATGCTGCGGTGGAGCATGTACCATAGTAAGGAGTTACATCCATTTGGTTCCCTTCCATGCCGAGCCTTCCGTTTCGAGGGCGGCTAGTACGTACCGTCCCTGTCACTAGCCGGACTAGTAGGGTTCTGCCACTGATCCAGAAGGTATCGAAGTTACGGAACTTTACCCAGCGGGATTCGATCTATGGTTCATTCGGTCGGATCGTCTATCATACACTCATTATTACCTCGATCAACCTACCATTACTTACCTATCTTAACCCACCCCCCCCTCTCTCCCTCCTCTCTTGCATCTACACCTTTCATGATATTCTTTGTATCCGATTCCAGAAGCATGACTGAATCGCACTCGGAACCGGTTCATCTCCACGCTACTCCCCGTGTCGCGCATTTCTGCTCTTAACGGTGAACTGTCCTTGCCCCCCCCCGTTCCGCGAAGCGATCATTCCCGCGGAACTGATCGCCTTCGGGGGTTGATAGGGATTAACGAAAACTTTAGGGACCGTCAAAGTCGCACCCTCGCGATCGCCGTCAAGAGCTAACTCGATAATTCGACAAAATCGATATCGATGCTTACCTCCCTGTCGTCCCGCTTCGGTTTGACAACGGTTCGGCCCTCCTGAGCGCGAAAGCAACGATGACGCTCTTCAACCCGACCACCGTCCTCGTCGGATTCCTCCTGCTCTACCTCTCCTCGTTCCTCATCTTCGCTATCGTCCGCATCGCGACCGGAGTCTCCATCCAGCGCATTGGCTATTTCTCCCTCCGACGCATCGCTTACTCCCCCAAGGAAGGTGTGCACATCGAGCTACGTGGTCTCGGCCTCTCGCTACATCCCCCCTCGTTCGCCCAACCGACATGGCTGAGTCTTCGGTTTACCGATCTGAAGGTGACTTTGGATCGGTCCGCGCTGGAGAAGGGGAAGGAGAAGGAGAAGGAGAAGGAGAAAGACACCGCGGGCAAGACGGAGACGCCGCAGGAACCCCTGAGCCCCGGTGTGGGGAAACGTCGACCGGATGAGGGGGTTGACTCGTCGTCGCCGGCGCCGAGTAAGACGTGGAAGACGTTGAATAAGTTGAAGGAGTCCGTGAAGAAACTGCATCGGAAAATTCACTGGTTAAAGTTGGTGGATGTGGTCGCGGTCAATACAACCCTCAATTTCGTCGAGGCCGGTCAAATCCAGGTCGGGTCTCTCTCCTTGGCCGTCGACACGAGGCGGAAAATGGTCGATCGGGGAAAAGTGTTTCGTCGGAACAAGAACGCATCTGGGGAGCAGCCGCCGGCGGAATGGGTCCTCAATGTGCAGAACGTCCTCCTTTCGGTCGATGGGGGCGAGCCGACCGAATTGTTGGACAATATTGGGGTGAACGTCCACGGGATCCTCCACAGAGACTTCGAGGGGTTGCGCGATGTCTCGATCGCGTTCAAGATTGGGAGAATGCACATTCCCTACGACGACCTGATGACTGTGATGCAGCGGATTAAAAAGTTCCGGCAGGGCGGCACGAATGCGACACCGAACGACCTGGATCGCGAAACATATTTCGACGACTTCGTGGAGGAACTGGAAAGGCCCGGTAGCCGCGATGCGGAGATTGTGCAAACAGTCGCCGATTCCAAGGAATTCGCCAGTTCCCTGCTCCGTGGAGTGCAAGAGATCCAGGTTGCCTTGAGTTTCTTCCGGTTATCCCGCGCGATCCAACCCGCCTCTCCCAAGCAGAGCTCGGTGTATCTGAACGTCGTGTCCCATGAGCTAGGCCTCGACCTCCATCGCATGGATCAGCACAGCCCTGCTCATCGGATGTACTTCCAGCGGAATGATGTCGCTCATCAAGCTCTCCTGGCCGCCATCTCCCTCTCGGTCAGCCTCGATGATAGCTCCGGAGAAACCGATAACATCCTATATATTCCCATGGCCACGACGACTATCAAGACCACGCTCCCCTCCAAAACCATCAGCCATTTTGACGAAGTCAACCCGGAAGACAAGAACACGAACATCCTTTTCGCCAACTTGGTGGTCACGTCCCCATCGCTCGACCTGGAGCCGAGACATGTTTCCCGGCTTCTGGGGTTGGTCCAAGACAGAACGCAGTCGCCGCGGGGGAAGAAGAAGCAGAGGAATAACCACCGATTAATTTCTCGATTGCTTCCCAAAACTAACATCAAACTCTCGGTGCACGAGCCCGTCATCCGCTTCGTCCTCCCGATCTCCCCCGAATCCAAAAGCACATCCGAGGATTACAATCTACTCATCTCATCTATATCATCTATATCCCTCGACATAGAATCCTCCCACTCGTCAGAAGGGGGTGTTCATTATTCATTATCATCCATTTATCGGGTGGCTTCTCACAAACTATACTACCAAACGCCTTCGGGCATCAAACACAATCTTCTTACCACGGAGAACCTTGAAATCAAGATCCTACTCAGCGCATCGCCTGAAGTGTGCGTGATTGCTTCGGGATCCTTGAATACCTGCTCCGCTCACATGGTCAACGGGGAGGTCAACCATGGAATCCAGCAGGTCGTGGAACAGTTCAAATCGCAACTGGGCCCAAAGACGGGAGTACATCCGCCCGTTGAGGAAAGAAAACCGAGTTTCCTCAGACGGGTGCCCTCCTGGTTGCTTCGATTCCAGTTCGAAGCCACGAGTTGTAGTCTGGAGATCGCCGGGATTGACCCGAGCGTGTCGAAAGTCTCGCGTGGTGTTTCGTTGCAGCTTCAATCATGGACCGCAGACTACAGGGCGCAGAAAGTCGAACCGACGACCATCAGCATATCACGCAGGCGAACGCCAAGCCACTCGACCATCGGTGGAGATGAGTCTCCGTTCAGGTTTCCCCCAACGTCACCTCCGAAGCAGACCCCGCGCGGTGCTGCGGATGGACGGCGGCTGGCTTTCCATGCCCGTGTGTTCGAAGGCTTTGTTATCGAGTCAGACGACTACTTAGAACCAGAGCCCTTTTTCTCGCTTCCCAGGTTCGAAGTCGCGCTTAGTACGCTGAGTGATCGCGTCGGACCGATCTTCAACATCAACTCGGTCTTCAAAGGCATTTACCTACAGTATTCGCTTTATCGGTATTACTGTCTCGGCGTTGCGCTATCCGTGCTTCAAACGGCCTTCATGCACTACGCCACACCCGCGATGCCAGATCAGCCGCCACCCTCACAGGGGGGCTCAAAGGACTTCTCGTACCGCCCGCCCCCTCCCTCTCAGCGACGTGAGCTTGTCACCGTCGATGTGAGGGCCACTGTTGTTCAGCTCAAGACCTCTTTACCTGCAGACCCGCCAATGCTGTTCCAAGTATACGGATTTACCGCGGGCTCCCACCGCCTTTCCGCTCCCTTCCTGAGAGCCGGTTTGGTTCGGATCCACGCCGAGGCACCGAAGCTCAAAGGCGTGTGGGCGAGGATCGTGGGAATGACCAACGTGAAGGTTGATCTGCGGCGGCTGAAGTTGAAGCACGGTGCCAACCTTATCGAAGAGAAGTCCATTGACGTATGGGCCGATTTCATCCGGGTGGGCGTCCCTCACCACATGGTCATGCATCGTATTTTCGACAATTTGATCAACACCTCCAAAGCCCTCAAGCAACTTCACCATCGCCTCCAAAATCGCTCACCGGATTTCATCTCCGTACGAGAACCGGAGGAACCCAAGAAAGTCCCCAGGATATCAGTACGGAGCAAAGCCTTGCTTTTTGAACTGGAGGATGATGCATTTGAATGGAAGTTAGGTTGCATCTACCGGACTGGTCTTCTGGAACAGCGCCAGCGTCAGGCTCGCGAAGAGGCTTTCGAGCTCAAACTGCAAAAAGTCAGAGACTCAGGCCAGCGGCGCGCGTCATCTAGGTTACGGGCAAGGTCTAGCCACCGTACCCTTCGCAGTGAACGAGTCAGCCAAGAAACGAGAAGGAGCAAAAGCGCTGGGCCAACGCCGCGGAACGACACCAGCGACAAGAAACGTGGGAGAGGCAGGAAGCTCCGTTACGACACCGAAGGGGCTGCCTGCATTTCTTGCGACTCCAAGGTCTCCGACGAGGCTGCTTGGTATCGACTCCAGGAGCACAATGCTCGGGCGTGGAAACAGAAGATCGACTCTGCTTTGAAATTCCAGGGATCGGCGATCAAGGAAGTGAGACATTTGTTCGCTGGAGTCGACGAGCCTCCTGAGGATGTCGAGGAAACGGAGACGTTGCTTTCCATCCCGAATAGACCGGCTTTGCTGGGGGCGTTGATCAGTGATATTAACCTCGTCATTGACAAACCGTTCTTCCCCGTGGAGGAATACCCTGTTTTCCTCCATAAGATTGGGAAAGGGATGCCCATGGACATGAAGTATGGATTGCTTATTCCAATGAGCTTCAACCTCGATATGGGCGAAGCCCGAGTCACTTTGCGCGATTACCCCTTGGACTTAATCCATATCCCGGCTTTGCGTCCTGGGCAGTCCCCTAGGCTACCCAGCTGGTCGCTTCGAACCAACTTCGTGATCGGCGAGGAGTTCCGCGACTACAAGTCCGCGAGACAGGTCCAGCTGCAGTTAGTGCCACCCGGAGAGCTCCCAGATGGCACAGCAAGCCCACCGTTCGATATCAAGGTCTGGCGGTCCGTCTCCCCAGTGAAGACCTATTCCGACCCTACCATCGAGATCAACACCAGCCTCCCGACCAGTATTTCCTGGGGCATGTCATACCAGCCCGTGATCCAGGACATGATGAAGATCATCGAAGGCTTCACGAAGACGGAAATCGACCCGTCGGACCGGGTTGGCTTCTGGGACAAGATCAGGCTCAGCTTCCACTCTCGACTCAGGGTTGTATGGAAAGAGGACGGCGATGTCCATCTACGCCTGAAGGGCTCTCGCGACCCATACGTGGTGACCGGGTTCGGCGCTGGATTTGTCATCTGTTGGCGCAAGGATGTCAAATGGGACATCCATACCAGTGACGACCCGAAAGAACTCATGGCTGTCACCAGCGGTGAATTCGTCATGGCCATACCCGACTACAGCCACGAGGCCCGATACATGGCGGAGGCCACAACCCACGACATGGAGACCGCGTCATCGTCGAGCGACATGAAGAACGCAGCCCTCTTTAAGAAGGTTGTCATGAAACTGTCTGGGGACGTGAGGGTGGGTGCTGGACTGGTCTTCGAGCGCAATCTCAGCGAATCCGAGCGGTCATTCCTTTTTAAACCCCATTATGAGGTTGTTCTTCGGAATCCTCTCTACGTGGACCCTGCCGAAAGAGAGGTCTACGACGCCTACCGTGGCTTCCGGAGTAACCATATCCACTTGTCAGTTGCTGTTATCGCGCCCGAGAGCAGGAACTGGTGCGTGAATCATGTGCAGCCGTCTTCCAGCTACAACGCCATCCATCTGTCTCCCCGCTTCTTCACTCACTTCTTCAACTGGTGGTCGCTGTTCTCCGGTGTCATGTCGCTCCCAGTTCGCCAGGGACCGCTCTGGCCGGGTATTACGAAGACGAGCAAAAAGTTCAATCGACATCTCGCAACGGTGAAGTACAAGGTGCTCCTTGCCCCGCTCTTTGTGGCGCACATCTACAAACACAAGGACCGGGAAGACTATGCCGAAGACGTCGTCACAGCGACAGGATTGAAGGTCCGCCTGGACAGCCTGAAGCTCGATCTCCATCAAAGACGTGAACAGATCAAGACACTGGCCAAAGGACGTCTGAAGCAGACACAAGCGAGCGCTATGCGCATCAACCAGGCTCAACTGGACCTGCAGGCGGCAGACTTCAGGGCTGTCTCGGCAAGCATTGAAGGCACCAATTTCGATGATATTGAACAGAACAAGGACGACATCATATCATCATTCCAGCAACCCGTTGCATCTGTCGATCTGTCCAAGTTCACAATCCCCGATCAAAACCTGGACTGGGTCGACATGGATGATTTCGTGGAGTTGGACTGGATACTGCCCCAAGAGTCGAACCCTCGAACGCAGATCTTGCCGCTGGCTTTCACCCCGTGCTTTACCTACTTCCGTGAAACGGATCACGGTGGGATAATGCCGGACCAAACAGGCTACAGCACGTTTGGACACGAGCCCACTCACGACTGTGTCATGTCGGAGAATAACGAGCCTCGGCGGGTGCAGATGGAACTCATCAGGGACCGTCTTGCTACAGTCGAGGCCCAAATCCGGGATTGCGAGCGCACAGTTGGGGAGCAGGAACTCCGGATGGCGAGAGAGGCCGGCCACGACCCCGCGCTGAAACAGAAGCACGCCGACTACATGAGGCATTCCGAGTCTCTCACGAGAAGACGAGGCTTCCTCGTTGCTGGCCTCCAGCGTTTGGAGAGACAGCTGGCACGGGAGGAGAAGACACCCGCCGACAAAAACCCCGAATCCGTTGCGGCCGACAGCGCTTCTAGGACGGGCTTTGATTCGCCAGTTGAGGGCAGAGACGCTGATATGGACGGGTTCTACTCCTCTCCCAACGACGAATTCGCGAGCGACTTCAACAACCGTTTCATGCTGCACAATACCCAGTTCAAGTGGAACAACTCGCTCCGGAATATCATCTTGCGGTATAGTCACCAGGTGGGCCAGAGGCGCGGGTTCGTCTACTACATGTCTCGACGAGCGGTCAAGTTCATCTTGGACATCGTCGACGAGCAGAGCAAGAACCAGCGGAGACAGTCGAAGCTATTCCGCTCCGCGTCAAGGCGGCCTTCCGATTGCCGCGGTCTGGTCGACGATGACGACGACGACAGCGTCGAGGAGCGCATCGAGCAGCTGCTGAACGACGCCAAACGGTTTGTGAACGCGGAGGAGCTCGACGCAGAGGAGAAGAAGAAACAGGACAATTCGAGCTCCGACGGCTCCAGCGAGAACATCATGCCGGAATTCACGCCGCAAAACAGCTACCATCTGCGGCTCATCGCGCCTCAGATTCAGCTCCAGAGCGAGAAGAACCAGAAATCCGTCCTGCTTGTCGCTGCGAAGGGCATGCAGCTGCAGGTTGTGTCGATCATGGATAAGGAGCGTGTGTCTGACGATGTCAGCGGCCTGGTGCAGCGCCGATTCTCGCTCGACATGGACGGGGCCCAGTTCTTCGTCGCGACGCAGAAGAACTTGATGAATCATTTGCAGTTCTATGCTGGCAACAAATACGGCAACTCTCCCGGCTCCGCGTGGCCGCCTTGGCTGACGCTGGAAGCGATGTTTGATTTCGAATTGAATCCCTTCGGCTTCTCCCGGATTATTCAGAAGACGTCGGCCAGTTTGCGCTACGACAAGTACAATAACCTGCGTCTGAAGTATAATGAAGAGGTGGCCAAGGGGCAGACTGATCATCCCCACCTTCTCGATGGACAGGAGTCGCGAATGGACCAGATCAGCGTCGACTTCCCCCGCTTCCGCGCCATCTGCGACTCTGCGGAGTATTACTCGATGTACATCATTGTGCTTGACCTGCTGCTTTACCGCGAGCCGTTGGAGAAGGTCCGAAATGAGCGTCTCGAAAGGATCATGCTCACCTCCGATTTCAGCGATCTGAGAGGCGCGCCGGAGATGGTGTTCAAGTTGCAGGCGCGCATTCGGCAGCTCGAGGAGATCAAGGAGCATTTCCAGATCCACGCCAAATACTTGGATCGACAGGGCTGGGAGGATCGCTTGATGCTTGAAAAGGATCTTTCCCAGTGCGAGGATGAGCTGTTCTTCTTGATGAAGGCTATCACGACGTCTCAGCGGAAGATCGAGCCGACGATGGGCGGAGCGAATGGTGTTCTGCGCTGGAATATCTCCGCTAGTGAGATTGCCTGGCATTTGATGAAGGACGAGACGGAGCCGCTGGTCGAGTTCCAACTGCGGAATGCTGAGTATGACCGTACGGACAATAGCGATGGCTCGAATCACAATCTCGTGGCCGTCGAACGTCTCTACGGGTTGAATCTGCTCCCTGATGCCATTTATCCTCAGATTATTGTGCCGTATCTGGATCAGGCAAAGAATCTAGATGACCAAACCGACCACATGATCAAGGTGAAGTGGCACATGCAGGAAGCTGTCGCTGGGATTCCTGTGCTGGATGATTTCGAGGTGTCTCTCTTCCCTCTGAAAGTCCAGCTGGAGCGCGAGCTCGGCCAGAAAGTGTTCGAGTACATCTTCCCTAATGTGGGGACCGCTGCGTTCGAGAACGGAGGCTTCTCGCCATTCATGATCAAGAACGTGAAGCCCCTGGAGGATTCCGACGAGGAGGAGGATGGCAGTCCAGGCGAAGCTCCCAGTGCGCCGGAAAATAGCGACGTTTCGACCGACGATCTCCTGACAAAGGGGCCTGGCGCTATCGAACTCAGATTGCACCCTACGCTTTCATTGTCGGAAGAGGCGCGACCTCGGACCCAGGGCCGGCTGACTCAGTCGAGGGGTCTCGCGCTGACACCGCTTAACAAGGACAACAAGCAGTCTGACGGACTCCGTCGCCCGGCTACAAGCGGCGCGTTGTCGAAGAAGAAGTCGGGTGATAGTTTGCGGCTCTTGTCGAGACAGCAGGCTACGGAGAAACCCGCTGTCAATGGATCCACGCCTAAAGAGGCGGAAGAGAAGGGTAGAAAGTTTGCGCTCGCGAGGACCAACAAGGCAAGTAAGAGCAAGGAGGCAACGGACGATCTGTCGCAAATGATGTCTCGCGCTTCGAACTACATGACGCTCGCGCATGTCAAAGTCCACGACGTGGTGCTCTGTCTGAGCTACAAAGGCAAAGGCGACCACAATTTCGAAGACCTGCACGACTTCGTCTTCCGGCTGCCGGTCCTGGAGTACCGCAACAAAACATGGTCCAACCTGGATCTCGCCCTGCGATTAAAGAAAGACGTGATCAAGGCCCTCATCTCGCACGCGCCCGCAATCCTCGGCAACAAGTTCTCGCACCACCGTCCCAACAAGCAGCAGCAAAAGAAGCACCGCGAGATGGCAAACACGTTCCAGCTCCTTCATAACCCGGACAGCTCCGCCGCAACCATCTCCGACAAAAGCATGGTGAGCGCCGACTCCAACAGCGAATCCTTCGAGTCTCGATCCCAGCGGTCACAACGCTCAGACGTCCAGTCCGGAACCTTCCCTCTCGGACGCTCGAATTCCATGGGCTCCAGCATGCTCAGCACCCCTGAGTCCGGCCTGGCGTCGGATACTCGCTCCGCGAGTGAGGTTGATGCAGACGCTCGATGGGAACAGTCTCGTCGGTTTATCAACCCCACTAGTCGGCCGGTGACTTCGGGGCCGGCTATGCCGCGTACTCATACGACGAAATACTGGGATGGACCACCTGATGAGGGGTAAGTTTCTCTATATTGTGACCTCACTACCGGATTTATGCTAACCCCCGATCTAGTTCCAAGAGTACGTTCCGCAGCCTGGGCCGGAAACTGATGCCATCTCGAAAGTAAAAGCCTTTGCTACGAGAATTCCTACGCACAGTGTTGGCATTGATAGCCGTTGCTCAACGCCATCCAAAGGATGAGTTGAGCTGAATTCGCCCTCCGCATCGACATCTCTCTCCCCACTATACTTCTGGTATTGCTGTTTTTTGTTCGTTTCTTATATATATTTTTCTTTTTATTTATTTAACGAGATACCCCCTACCGCAGTGAGTGGGTTATAGAAGGAGTCAATTATTATTTTCTTTTCTTTCCCCCCTTACAATTGTTTTTTAATCCACCCTCGCCCGATATTTCCGAAGTTTCTATCTATCCCCTTCTTTGTATCATGTTTGCTCATCTTTTCGATTGTGATCTAGTCTATCTACATCTCGATCTTATCCATTCTACCCCTGTCTTGATAATTTATCTGTTTCTTCTTCTTTTCTGATCGTGTTTTTGAGGCTAATGTCTGCATTTATTTCTCGCGTTTGGCGTGTGCGTGCTCTACCTATATTTGTGTACACAGATTACCTGTTTCTTGCCTTTGGAAGGGCGGTCACAAACATAGCTCAAAGCATTGGGTGTATTGGTTGATTTACTGATTGGTTGGTTGGTTGAATTTGGGGGAAGGGGTACATGCACCTGCATTATACATCTGGATTGCAGTGGAATGGAATGGACTGGACATACTAGGACTAGGACGGGTTGATTTATAGGATAGGATAGATGGTGATTGTTTATTGAAGGGTATATATTTGTTTTACCGAATTTGTGCTTATCTTTGTGTAGATGTAGATGTAGATGTAGTGTTGTAGCTGGTCCGTCGTAAATTGCTGTATTCTGTTCCTGTTGTGGTGGATGCAGCTGGAGGAAGTAGTATTTCTTTGTCGTTCGTGTATCCCTAACGCCATCGAGGCATGTTGTCCATATTGACGTGTAACGTTTTTCTTTTTACGTGATTCTCCAGTACGTAGGATGGGTCCGACGGTTCAAATGGTTTCTTAGAGATTGAAGAGGATGGCGGAGGGAGAAAAACCCAAGCACGAGAAACACCGATGATCTCGACCCTCCCTTGAAAAGGCAAGGGTTGCGCTGAAACTCAAGGACGAGCTGTTCCGAGAAGAGCAGCGCGGGCGTTCTCACACAACCGCTCGATTTGCCTCCACCTAGAGAGCAGCATCGCGAGCCTCTCCTGCTCCCACTGTTCGGAGCCGAACTCGGGTGTGAATCCTGGGGAAGGTAGCTTAGACTGATCAAGCATAGTCTCTATGATGCCGATCGTAGTGGTGCATTCTTTGAGATAAGCCTCGATCCAGCCGTTGATGATGCGGGCGGTGGTGGGTGGGTTGGAGCCTGTCTTGTCGCGGAGGTGTTTCCTCCAGGGGTCTTTGCGCATGTATTTTAGACAGGCGACTGCTTGAACTATGGATGTTGGGCCTGCGGATGTTATTTCGTAGTTGCTTTGTTTTGGAAAAGATCATTGTTAGTATGGGAGGGAGGAGAGAAAAGGAAGAAGAAAAGTTAGGGAGGGAAGGGGGTACCCAAAGAGTTCTTGAGAGGCTAGTTCTGTCTTTTGTGATAATGTGAGCTCGCGGAAGATAATGTCGTCGAGGTAGATAGAGTCGGATTCGTTGTCGTCTAGGCAGAAGCCGTCTGTTTCTCTTGTCAGTGTTGGGCGGTTAGTGGGAAGGGATGTTGAGGGTTGGGACTCACATTCGACTAGTAGGAAGTCATTTGAGTGCGGTCCGTAGCTCATATACACTTCTTCGCCCTTTTCTGCGCAATTGTTTAGTTTATATAGCCCAGTAAAGAGTGAAAAGTTCGACTCATACCATGCTGCCTCGTCGCCCTAAACGTATACTTCTCCCCATCGAAACGAACATCGCAGGGCTTCAACAATCATCAGCCTGATCTTCACAACAATAAACAAAAACACCCAAAGCAAACACATACCGCATCATCCACATGATTAAAATAATCCGCAAAAGGAACCATCCCCACCGCATCATTCCAATCCTCAGGCTCCTCGCCCAGCGAAGAAACATAATAAAAGCTCCTCGAGTTGACAATGTGATAGTAATACGCGAACGCATCAGGATCAGTCCCAGGAAACGCGGAGACAACACACTCCCAAGAATTCCGGAAGCGCTTTTCCTGCTGCGGCAGCAGATTCTGGTACGTCGACTCGTAGTCCGCGCCTGCAGGCGTCTTGCGGAACGTGTTCCACCGGCCGGAGATGGACGGCGGGAGTAATGAGGGACCGGACCATGATGTGGAGCTGGATGTGCGCAGACGGTCCGGCCATAGGAGGGGGATGGTGTCTTGGAAGTCGCGGAAGGAGGGCCATACTTTGCGCCAGGGGTCGATGTCCTGTAGAGTGTCTTTGTCTGCGTGGGTGAGAAATGCGGCTAGAATTCCGTGGTTGGGTGTGTCTTTGGGGAATTGCTCTACGAATGATGAGGGAATGGAGTCCCTGGTTAGCATTGCTGTCCGGGGAATGCTGAGCATCACATCATTCTCCTAAAATCCTTAGTTAACATCTTTCCCCATCAATGGGTCTAGTCCCTTCTGAAACGAAGTTACCTATCGTGTTGCATACCTTGATCGTCCTGTTGGCGATCATGCCAAGACGTCGACCGGGGAAATGGGCCGGGGCGATGCCTTTGATCTGCACGCCTTTGGAGATAGCCCATTGCGTGAAGGCTTCGTGTTCATCTCCTAGGGAAGTGATTGCCATTTTGTGGTGATGGAGGGAGAGAGAGGTGCGAGAGATGGATGGCTGAGGCTACACAGCTGTGCTGTCGTTGTCCGAATTGGGGAAAGTGGATCGTCGGAAATGACATGCAGATATTGGCGGAGATGTCAAAGAACATCAACAAGATAAATAGTGCCCACAAAATACTACATGCATTTCGTTTTTGATAAGTCAATATATAAGGATCTATATGTAAGCTTATTTACCTCCAGTTCAGCTTTATAGGAAGAGGCGATTTTCAAAGCATATGATTAGTCTACAGTCACGTGACTAGAACTAGCCTTTGACATCGACAAGGTGCCTCAGGTATACATCCATGTGGTCTCTGATAAACTCTATAATTAGAGTTGACTTGATGGTTGTCAATATTTATTACTTCCCTATAATCTTGATTCTAATCTACTTGTAATACACACTACAAACTTTAGCCATGTCACGCCCGCTGTGAGCACACTCGGACCAATGGGAACGCCAATCCTGCTAGACGCTGAGGATAGGAATGCAAGTTGTATTGGGTATCAATATGGATCATAGTAAAGTACAGCGTGTATCTTAGCAGTCTACCCTCGAAAGCACCACAACACCTACGAGCTCAAAGTGCAAATAACAATAAAAAACAATAGTGTATCGATCGTGTAGGTCGTGCGTCTGTCATGGCTTTTGTTTTCTTCTGTCATCAACGTATCGTCAGGTCTACATCGGGGGTATTTAGGACGCGAACGCGGGTTAGGTAGCGGACTGTCCGTCGGACAGGGTGGATGGTTTCTCCCGCAACCACGGCAGGATGTGAGGAAAATGTTCCTGAACGGACTCGAAGCGCGTGCGAGCGCTGGTCGCGTTGACATCGTCGGTGAAAGGGATGCCGCCATGGGGACGATTCTCCTGCCACGTTTGCTTTTCGCGCCGTAGATCGCTCTGGACCCACGGGATCGTGATCAACGTCCAGACAATCGCCCAGACAATCGGGAGGGACCAGCCCAGCTGCACCATTTCCCCGTTAGTTGCGCTTAGATTTCTTGACACGGCGTGACATATCAACCCGAATTGGGGTGGTCGACAGGGGGATCACATACCGTGAATGCGACCGGCCGAGAGGTGGTAAAGACGAGCGCGGTGATGCCTCCCGCGCAGATGAGCGCTCCCCCGGTCCAGAAGAAGTTCATCTCTCGGAGCATCCGGCGAAAGTAAGGGCTGGACAAGTATCGGGTCCGAAGGGCGTAGCGGTAGATCTGACCCCCCGCGCCATCGACCGCGACCACATCCTCAATCATGACATACAGGGCGGTCGGCATGGTCGATCCTTTGGGAGTCGAGGAGATCCGGAAGGGGGCCTTGAAGCCGAAGAGGCGGAGAATATCGAGGGAGAGGTAGACCGCGCCGAAATAAAACATGACGGTCGGGAGGACCATGGCCACGAGTCGGACTGTTGCCATACCGTTAGCCAATGTATCGCGAATGACCAACAAAACAAGCCTCCTATATAATCTTACCGTGTGGTTCTTCCGCTACCGATCCTCTAGTGTCGTTAGCGCATCTGTCTATCCACGGCGTTTATTGCTACTTACACGACGAGCTCGACGGCGAGAATCAACCAGACGATGGTGAAGTTGATCTGAAAGAAGTCGAGCTACCACATTGTCACATCAGCACCACCGTTATGTGGAACCCAGACGGATTTGATCGCTTACCCATGACTTCCTTGCGTTCAAGGGCCGGGCTCGGGAGTCTTTGCGGAAGAGGTTATAGAGCCGGTAGAAGTATTCAAACACCGAGATGCCCCCCAACGACGCGGTCACGATTGAGAAGACTGCGGGAAAGCGACGATTAGCTGGGCGTCCAGTCGGATTGAACCAGCGATGATCGGCGACATACCTATATTGTGGGATAGGTCAGTGGCATACCAGAGGGCCCAATACAGGGCCAACGGTTGCGCCACGACATCGATGATGAACAAAATCCAGAAGATAGCAATGGATTTTTTGCGAGTGCGCAAGGTGTAGGGCAGGGGAGGCGGCTCCGGCGCATTTACCGCGGCCGTCGTCCGTCCTTCTTCCTCGTCCATGAGTATGGATGGCGATGTATAGTTACCGGGTTGGAAAACCGTGAAAGGTGAGAGACGATAGAGGTACAATTAGCGAGAAATCGTCAATTCATGATTTGGTTGCACTCGGCTGATAGTCAAACGTATTAGAGAAGGAAAGAAAAGAAGAAGAAAAATGGAAGGTTGAACACATCGACGATATTTTTCTTTGGTCTTGGTGGCAATGCAGCAAGTGTTGCCAATAATAATCAGGCCGGAAACAACGGGTCTCGGTCTGGCCTAAGGCTGTCTCAAGCCGGGCCTGAAATCGTGGGACAAGCGTGGCATGATGTAATCGCCTGATGATGTCATGCTGCTCCCAGCCTGCTTACGCTGGAATTCTTGTCCAACTTTCTTCAATGTTGTCAAGCTGAAACAGCCTTGTGCTCTCTATCCCTCTAGTAGATTAGGGATCAATGGTAGATTTACCCACAATTCAATTGACCGAGGAGTGTCATGTCGTGTCAAGGGTTGGTCGTATTGGGATAGCTGGTCAGATCGCGAGTGTTTCCATGGAACGAGTCCGGTCCAGTCCATTCATCACGGTGGACCCATGGGTATGTCCGATGGACTCGGAGGATTGGATCATTGGATAGGACTTTCTATAGCCGATCGATGTCAGGTGGATCTGTCAAGATATTCTGTACTGTTACGACTTTGGGTGATTGTACGGAGTACAGACTCACAAATAGTCAAGAATAGCAACGCCAAGAAGATCGCTGGATGACTAAGACTCAAAGAGAGAGAAATGGTGTCTGTGTGCCTGATTCCCCAGGCTGCCAGAGAATCACGTGATTCTGCCACCCCCGCCTGGGATTTCTGGCATTCCTCAGTTTTCTCTCGACGACAACGGTTCGAATCACGCCTCTCGCTCCACCATCAATCGGATCTTTTTTTCTCGATCTCTGAAATATACTCGATTTTCATCAAAATCATGAGCAGAGCTTAATTTGAGTCCGGGAAAAATTTTTCCTCTTGGTTTCTTTCGCCCAGCCCTGACCCCAGTCATGGAAAAAGATGGCTCCTAGTCTATGCGACCTGATTGATTTTTTGTTAGCGGAGATAGCCCTTTGCGGTGCTCAAGGTTGGTGACTTTTGCCTCTCTATTTTTTGTTATCGGATTGGAGTCGGTTGGTCTCCTCGTGGTTAGTCTACGAGACTAGTACCGCATAGTCTAGTATGGGGCGTATTATCATCCTGCAGCCTGCATCTTACCCGTCTGGCGTCTTGGCCAATGGGATCCCCACCAGGTGTGGAGGGTACTATCGTCTTCATGACATGCAACCAAATCGACCTCTCACTTCCGCACCACTGATTTTCCATGGCATGGTGGATCGACCGCTAACGGTGTCTAGGCGCATCCCCGGCGGATGTCTTGGCTTTGGTTGATACGTTCTATGCGAAAGCTCCCCAGCAGGGCTCAAGTCGCACGCAGACGGTCGATCGTCGCTTTCAGGCCAAGGTCTGGACATGGCTAATCAAAAACCCCGAGGTGTCTGTGGGCCAAAACAGAGAATGGAATCACCTGAGCCTGGATGATGCGGAACGACATGGTTGCGCCCAATCCGATGCGCGCGACAGTCAAGAGACCGCGTCGGACATCCGGGTGTTCGTGTCCGAAGAGAGAACCTGGCTCGCAATTACCGGCCACGAACCGGACGAGACCAAGGTGCTTCCGATGGAGTTTACCCTGCTATCCATCATCGCCTCGCGCAAGTCCCAAGGCATCGTTCAAACCGAACTTGTCCGGCTCAGTGGCCAGGACAAGCGCTCCGTTCCCAAGAGAACCGACATGCTACAGAAAAAGGGATACATCGAGAAACGGGCAATCCAAATCAAATCTGCGCGCACGAGCCTGTGTACCTTGCGCAAGTTCCTGGTGCCGGAGCATTCCACCACGGGGATGACAACCGATTCGGGACCGGACGCCAGGCCAGACGATGATCAGATGATCGACTTCGAAAAGTACCTAGACAATCTTTTCAGTATCCTTCGGGAGCACGAGATCATCTCGCGCCACGATTTGAAAACGCGACTTGGATTTGCGGATCGGTGGAGGTGGAAAATCTTGTCTCGATCGCTCCGCAAGTTTGAGAGGATCGGTCTGCTCATGAGAGTCAGGGCCTTGTCCCAATATACCGGCACCGGGAAGCACTTTCATTCTTGCGTCAGGCTTGTGCGGGAGCCGACTAAGCGAGACTACGAACTGTTCCATGAGTATGGCCAGAGTCTCATAACCAACCTCGAGGAAGCGAATGCCGAGCTGGACGAGGACATGGAGCCCACCCAAGGGATAGGCGAGCCGTCGCTGCAAACTCCGGACGGCCTGGAAATGGCCAAGCAAGACGAGGACGTGGAGGTGTTCGGTCGACCCATTCCGATCTGGACCCCGGACCGAGTCGTCCACAATCAGGTTTTCGATGTCGTCGATGCGACAGGCACCGCAGGGTGCACTAACCGGGTAAGTGGCGACCGGCTTGTCAGCTTCGAGAAGATGAAACCAAACCAGAGACTGATATTTCATAGGAAGCTCTACAAACCTGCTTCGGGCAGTTTTATCGCAGGCCGCTAGAAAACATGTTGACCCGACTGGTGGAATGCTGGCAACTGTCGCAGCCGTTGCATCTGCGCCATCGGGCCATTGTGCGCGACATAGCCTTGCAAAAGACCATCACTCACTACATCCAGTACTCGGCGGGCAACTTCCGCAAGGTCGTGGACGCCGGAGAGGCAGCGTGGGAAGCCGTGGAATATACACCCAAGGGTAATAAATCGAGTAGCCTTCGTCCTCCTCCCGCGAATGCGCAGCCTGATCTCGATGACTATGGTCTACCTCGGGCAGTGCCCACGAAAGATCTGGTGAAGAAGGGCCGTGCGTCTCTTTTCGAATGCATCGCGACAGTCGGGCCTCAGGACTACGTTTGTTCCAGCAGCGATCTAAAAGCAATGCAGCTGGACGATGGCAGTTACGGTAAGAAATCATCATTCGAGCGGTGCCGAGTGGGAATTGATGTTGACCGCCTTTTAGCCATCTACCCAGGCGAAAGGAAACTTCCTGCAGGGGGATCCAGAGACCCTGACAGCACTCCTCGACGCCCCAGGGGCACACCGATCAGGTTGAAGATAGAGGATCCAGACACCCCCGATGGAGAACTGCTCGACACTCCCAATTCCGCACGTATCGTGGAGCCTAGGTACTCCAGGAAATTGAAAACCAGAGAGGATTCCGAACGCTTTCACGGAATGTCGGAATTAGAGAAATTGAAATGTCTCGGTCTTGACGAAACATGGACAGAGTACAGTATTCTCCTGATGGAACGGTCCAGCCCGGGGGTTTATATCACGCCTCGTGGGCGCCGACGACCAGCCGGCAAGAGACAAGGACGGCCAAGGATCAGCCGCCTCGCTGCTTTCAGATCGCCTAAGCTCATGTCCCTTCCGTGGTTCGTCGAAGAAGCCGAGCCCCGGCAAAGCGAACCAGCAACTCCGGCCCAACAAGATCAGCGTGAATTGAGCACCCCTGCCACAGCATCTCATTTTACTACACCCTCAAGAGGGGTAAAAAGGAGCTTGCGACAGCGTGCATCTCTTATGGAATCTTCCCCGTTGAGGGCGGAGATTGTGAAACACCGACGCCTCGATGAACCCGAAGTTGACTCCGCCGATGTTTCTATGGCGGTGGCTTACAGTCCCAGTGGGTCCGCCGCAGATGAGACACCCATAGCTGCCAGGGGGCATTCTAAGCGCAAACGGACAGAGTCTCCCACTCCCGAACAACCAACAAGTACAGACAGGGACCAAAACTCCATGACTCCTACTCGAACTACTAAGACGCCATTGAAAAAAGCCCGTCCTGCGAGCAGCTTACCGGATAGTGCAATGGGAGACCCTTCCGCAGGAGATAACATGGGCTCTGTATCTAACCAAGACACCACACCAGCTACTCCACACGTAGGCACTTCAGACGGGGCCGATGACACGGGAAAGAACTCAGAAGTCCCAGATACGTCGAGTCCGAGGATGAAGATGGCAGAAAAGGGAGGATCCATGGGCTATCTACGCAGAAAAATCGTGATGGACATCGTGGATAAGGTTGGAGGAGCCTTTCCCCTTGGTGCCGATCTCTGGTACCCATTCGCGACGGCCTGGCGGAAAACGAAGTACAAAAAGACACCCGACATGCGGACCGTCAGGACGGCAGTCAAACACCTCGTTGACGCTGGAAAGCTCCGGCAGTTCACATTTAGTGGCAAAGACAGCAAAGGCGTGATGGTGACAAGAAGCATGATCTGCAAGTCGGAGCTGCAGCCAGACGATCCCCGCATTAAATACATGCAGGGGACGATCTTGGCCTCGGAAGCACGCATCCCCCTGCCCCCCAGCGTTGAAGTCGACCCAGAACTCAGTAAAAATGGTGGCCGAAAACCAGTCTTGAAGGACCCGAAGACGACATATCCGATTCCGGTTGACCCTGGGCTCAGGGTGCATCTACAAGAAAAGCCCGCCTCTATACTGGCGCAGGAAAGGAGAAAGGGCCGGAGCATCCAGAGAAGGCTGCTCCAGAGGCTGAACTCCTCACGTGGCAAGCAAGACCCAGCAAACCCGAAAGTGGTGCGCCTTGCGAGTATTCAACGCCGCTCCGGACAAGATGGCTCTGTGTCTGGCTTAACCTCAATCTTCAGCCCGGACCAGGTAGGCCGCTCGGCAAAGAGACGTGTCAATCCTCTTCTTCAGGATGGGTCCAACATGAGGCGTCTATGTATTCCCATATCATCCATCGCTCCTTACGCGATGCTCATGAGCCCGAAACAGACTTTCAATGCTAGCTCAGGGACCTTCTCAACAGATGCTGGCCTCGCCGCTCTGCAGTCTCCCAGGGTGGGTGGTGACTTGCCGCGGTCGCTTGAAGACTTGTTGAATAAGACTCGCCGAGACACCTTGAAAAGGGCGGATCTTAGAGATCCGCGGTCTGTTGGGTTCTTCCGGGATAACGATACCATTCTCCGTTGGGAGCTTGAAAATGAAGATTTCCTGGGGGTAAAGGGTGATGATCTAATGTACATCAACCAAGCCATCTACGACTCGTTCGACAGTGCCCCGGTTGACGGGGATATTCGTTTCGATGTTGATGAGCCCAAGCCCGAGGGGCTGGCCGCTATAATTGGACGGCCTGTGACTAGACGACAGACGGGAGGCAAGCGCCGTTCACTACGCGAATCCGGATCAGCGTACCTCGAGTCTCCGATGGACCGACTGAACATGCTAGATCCAGAAACGGGCTTGTACTCCGAAGCAGGCAAGGCGGAAGCTGCTGCGACAGCACAGGATGACGTGCCTCGTATCCGACGGAACCGCCTTGCTCGTCTAGTGTCACCCAACCTGTTCCAGCGCATCATGACCGCCATCGTTATTGTTCGCACCCTGGCAGGGGGCTACGATGGGCGGATGGTAGATTGGAATCTCGTTGCGAAGGCCTTCCCAGACTACGACGAGAGCTTCATCCAGGACAGGGGCAAAGCGATCCTTAACAAAAACCGCCTGCAACTCGCCAAGATGCAAAGCGACTTCCAAGAGCGGTTCATCGAAGCATATGCCCAAGACCAAGTCCCGCCGATCAACTATGACGATCTAGACGGGTACGACTGGGTGGGGTTGGCGAACTGGGCGAACACCCAGGTCGACGTCCCCAGATCAGAAACTCATCCCGATCTCCCTGCTACGCGGGAACAATTCGACAGTGTTTTCGAAATCCGCGAGGAGCCACTCACGTCCCTGGAAGAGGTGTACCAAGCCAACAACTCGGTGACAGTCAACCGGCGACGCGCGCTCCTCGCCGGGGTACCCTACGCCGCTCCCCTGGCCGACAAACCCAAGCAGGCCGGACCACGGAAGAAGGAGCTCGCCCAGATGGAAGCAGCCAAGAGCTGGGTGCGCGCCAACGTCATCACCTTCGAAGAGAAATACAAGCCCGCCGAAGCGCGCGTGACGCTCTCCCACCTCGGGGAAGATCTAATCAACAACGCCCTACAGTCCCTAATGACCGACCGAGTCATCTCAAGCAGCAACCGCGGGCGCATAAGCCCGGGCAGAAACTACACCATCACAGACCTCTTCCTCCAAACCCTCGGCCGCAAGCGCGCCATCGAATGCACAGAGCTCCGCCGCGCCGCCCGATTCAAAACCACCATCCTGGACCCAGCCCTGCAAGCAAAGGGCTCCTTCGACGTCAACTATCACGCCGAAGACGGTGACATCCTCGCAGCGATCAACCTCGCCGCGGAGGGGCGACTCCTGCTAAAGCCGCGCGATCCGCCGCTGGAGAAATTCGGCCTCACGGACGGCGGATACCTGACGCGACTCATCGACAAAGACAAGCTCCACTTCTCTGTCGAACTCCACCCAACAGACCGGTACATCTACGGGAACCCCCTGCAAGACAAACTAGCCAACACCACGCACCCATGCCCCCGCTGCTGACCATCTCCCCGGACATATCAGTGCCGGAGAAGATCCCCATGTGGTTCGACATCCACGGGGGCTTCGTCAAGGTGCTGTGGGACCTGGCGCTGGCTGCTGTGGTCGGGTGTATCGCCACGCGGCCGGGCGTCAGCGCAGGCAGCGTCACTAACATGGTGAAGCCTACCATGGGGGCCTGGGAGGTGGAGCTGCTGCTTGGGTGGATGGAGGAGGTGGGTGTTGTTGTGCGGCAGGGCTGCAATGAGAGGGGTGAGACGGGGTGGGTTGTGAGAGAGTGGTGGTGGATGGTGTTGGCTGCGGCTTGAATTGTATTATATGTATTTATTATTGATGGAACGTGATGTTTACGGATTGTATCAACTAGCTGGACTTTTGGTCTGACGTCTCTAACAGCTGCACACGAGTGCCATCCCCACCCGTACCCTCATAACAAAGTACCTACAGTACCTCCTTATCACCTCCCCAACAACCAGTGATAATATGCTTAATCCCCTACAATCACCAAAAAATAACCTCACCCCCAACCATGGACCCAAGAAGTATAATCCTCCCATCGCGTCCCGCATTGGCCAACACGTGCTGTAAAGCTCTGTAAGCGGTTCGTGGCAATTTGGCGATTTGTTGCAATTCCGGGGATAAAGCGCGGTTTGTGATTGGTTGAGAGTTTGAATCGGGTATTTTTGGGGTGGGTGTATGAGGTTAGTTTTGTTATTTACGTGTATTACTCTACCTGCTATCTCTGGCAGTCATTCACCAAAATCCAGGATAAGGTAATCGCCAGGGCAAACCTTTACTACTATGTCCACCGGCCATTCCTTCGGACCACACGACTAATGCAGTGCCTCATTACCTATCCCATGTATATGGACGTTATGATATCCACGACTGGGCGATAACGGACCCAGCTAATCTGCGCGAGAATTTGGAATGGTCCATGAGTCCGGTGGTGTATAAACAATTCTCAAGTCTACCGGCAAACCTCTCCAAAGCTTGAGCCCAGCACCGCCATTAGGTTCCACGCAAATGAGCTTTCAACCAGTGAACAAAGCGGCAAATGTATCCTCAAATGTGATTCTAAGCGGGCATACCAAGAACTCTCTGTCCTAGTATTGTCTGTGCGATTAGGAGCGGGGGGGTTTTCAAGACAACGAGATCGACTGTCTGGCCTGGTTTAGCCGGCGCGCAATGATTTTCGCCATCAGTTCGCAGCGCTGCTGCATAAAAGCCTCGAAGTCATGTCCTTCGAGGTTGAGCCCTAGTGCAGGATCACTGATCCTTTGCAGATGCTGAGACCGGGGGCATTCTATCCTCCAATCTCGAGCATGCTGCAGCAACATGCGGAAGAACACAGGCCCCAGATGTGCGGCACCTGTAGCGTCGCCACCTCTAGAAACCATCTCAGTTAGATCAGCGGGTAGGTGTCGGTGGCACTGGATAGTGACATCACCAAGCTTCCGTGGCATATAAAGGTTCGCAGCGGCGTGCACGATCCCGCCCGACCCGGCTGCAAGGTGGGCTAAGCAGGTGTTGACCACCAGGTCAACGGGGATCTCATCCAGGATGGTCTGTTCTCCCAGTTCCTGTAGCAGTCGGGAGGGAGACCAGTGGGAGCCCATGCTCATGCCCAAGGCCTTGATTAGGATTGACTCGTTTGATCCGTATAGTGGATACGGGTCGCGCAAGGCAGGACTGAACAGCGATGGCCGCACGATGAGAACGAGAAAAGGCCAGTCGGCCTGGCTGAGGATTACCCTCTCCGCAATATGTTTGGCCAAGGCATACGGAGCTGGGAAGGCGTCTTCCAAGTCTGACCCCCCTGTTTCCTGGATAGTCGAGAGCTGCGCATTTGGTTCCGGCTCATTGTCACGTACTGGGTACAGACGCTCTTCGATGGCTCCCCCTGGCAGGAATTAGTTCACGGACGTAGCCGAGAGGTGCAGGAATGTTTGAAGGTGACTGAAGCTCCTACAGAGGTCCATCAACGCCAAGTGAGCGACACAATTGACCTGTATCGACGCTGGGAGTGATCGTTGGAGTGAAATGTCGCCGACTGAGTCGAGGACCACTGTGACCTCGTCACGGAGGCGCTGAAGGTCTGGTGACTTCAATGCCAATCCAGGTCAGGCTGTGTCTCCAACTATAAACTGAACTTTGCGTGTATCTAGGATGAGGTCGAGATACTCGGGCATTGCGGTTTCCAGTTTTTCAACTGCACGGCGCACCGACCCGCGACAGAGGATGAAGATCTTTTTCGTGGGCAGCTGAAGTGAGAGCTTGTAGAGTAGACATGCCCCTAAGTTACCAGTACCCCCAGTCAGAAAAATGACCTGGTTTCTATACCAGTCGACGTTATCGCTCATAATCGTGGAATAGGGTTATAGAGGTCGGAAGTCAGAGGCGGGTTGACGACTTTTACCTTTCCTGCCTCTTCTTAACTTATTTTATAACTTTCTTTTTCTTTTTCTCGAATCTAGGGGGATATGCGATGAGTACCTAGAATCAAAAGAGCGGTCAATTGGATCAGATATCATGCAGAACAGGCTCTCCCACGATGCATCGAACACGTCATCTCATTTCACTTGACAAGAAGATCAAGTGATACGCAAGGGATTCATGGCATGAAAGGGCAGAGTCCTCGGTCCTCCCGCAGTGAAAACTTGGCAAAAAGGATTCTCACTGCCAATCTGTTATATCAATACGACTGACAGTGCCGCGGTCGCCTTTGTTGCTTGTCTAGAACACTCGTCTTTTACACGAGAATCACTTTGTCTAGCACCGACGTCGACATAGGCATTCAAGGAGACTCTTTGACAACCCATAATGCCCGATATGCGGAGACACGCTGCCCTTTGTCAAGACGCCGAGACCATTTCTCCAGATGAGCCTATCGCCATTGTCGGAATGGGTCTGCGACTGCCAGGCGGAGTCTCCTCTCCTGATGAATTCTGGGAATTCCTGGTGAACAGACGAGATGGACACGGTCCCGTTCCTTCGAGCCGCTACAATGCGGAGGCTTTCTTTGAGCCTGGGAAGACTCCCATCAGCGGGTATTTCCTGCAGGAGGATCCGGCCTGCTTCGATGCCCCGTTTTTCTCCATCACCCCGCAAGAGGCCATGCGAATGGATCCGCAACAGCGGTTACTGCTCGAAGTGGTTTGGGAATGTCTTGAAAGTGCGGGAGCGAGAAAGTGGCGGGGTCAGAACGTCGGCTGTTTTGTTGGTGTCTTTGGGGAGGACTGGTTGGAGATGTCCTTCAAGAACGGCCATCAGATCGACCGCTACCACGCGATTGGCACTGGAGAATTTGCACTATCCAACAGGGTTTCCTATGAATTTGACTTCCAGGGCCCTAGGTCTGCCTCTCCCTCCCCCCGCCCAGCGTGACCATGATGAATAGAAGGCTAGGGTCTGACAGCAAACGCAGTATGACGATCCAATCGGCCTGTTCAGCATCACTGGTGGCATTGCACCAGGCCTGCCAGGCCCTCCGGCTGGGCCAGTGCTCAGCAGCTATAGCGGCTGGGACAAATATCATCTGGTCTCCGACCATGACTACAACCATGGTTGCTAACATGGTCCTCTCCCCAAGCGGAACTTGTCGGACTTTCGATGCTCAGGCAGATGGATATGGCCGCGGTGAAGCAATCAACGCTGTCTATATCAAGCGGCTCAGTGATGCCCTGCGCGACCATGATCCGATCCGGGCCGTAATTCGCTCGACGTCTACCAACTGTGATGGCAAAACCCAGAATATCAGCTATCCCAGCCCATTTTCTCAGGAGTCCCTCATTCAAAATGCTTACCAACAGGCGCATATAAAGGATCTCCGCGACACGGGATTTTTCGAGTGCCATGGAACTGGCACCGTGGTCGGGGACGCTGTTGAAACCTCAGTTGTTGGAAAGCTCTTCCGGGGTGCTGGGGTGATGATTGGAAGTGTCAGGATATTTGATTCCCTTAAGTTTCACCGCAAGTCATCACAAACTAACGAAATTGTATCCAGGTCAAACCCAACGTCGGCCATTCTGAGGGGGCCTCCGGTCTCACCAGCGTGATCAAGGCCGTCCTAGCACTGGAACATCGCACGATCCCACCGAATGTTCATTTCAATACCCCGAACCCCCATCTTGGCCTGGTGGAAGCCAACCTACAGGTTCCCTTAGAGGCCATCCCCTGGCCCGAGGACCGTCGTGAGCGGGCGAGTGTCAACTGCTTCGGCATTGGCGGATCAAATGCACACGTCATCCTAGACTCTGCGGCATCTTTCCTCTCAACGATGGATCCGGCCCCTTTGACCTTCAAGGACTCGAAGCTGTTGTTCATCTCGGCGCAGAGTGCGGAAAGTCTGAATCGGCGTGTCGGTGACCTGACGCAGTATGTCAGCCATCATCCATCCATTCTACATGATCTTTCGTACACGTTGGCCGTACGGCGCGAGCATTTACCTCACCGTGCATTTGCCGTGGCTTATCCAGACGTGCCCGTGGATCCATCCGATTTCCACAAGTTCACATGCCATTCCTCGACCTCCAATGTCGCGCTTGTGTTCACAGGCCAAGGGGCCCAATGGGCGGGAATGGGAAGGGCATTGATGCACACACAGGGCTGCTTTGCTGCAGTCGTTGATCAGATGGATGAGGCGTTGCAAAGCCTAGATGATCGCCCTGAATGGAGACTGAAAGGTACGTCCGTCTGTGACTACACCAGCGGGAAAGCTTTTCCTCACCTCCCAAACAGAAGAATTGGCCAAGGACCCGATTTCATCTCGTGTGCAGGAGGTTGAACTATCCCAGGCACTCTGCACCGCACTCCAGGTGGGTATTGTGAGTGTCCTTGCAGAGTGGGGAATAGAGTTTTGTTCGGTTGTCGGCCATTCTAGTGGTGAAATGGCTGCTGCTTATGCCGCCGGTGCTATCACCCCCCAAGCTGCTATAATCATTGCATATTATCGTGGAAAGCTGGCAAAAACGCAAGAAGGCCTAGGGGCCATGGCATCCGTTGGTTTGAGCCGGCCAGAGGTAGAGCCTTTCCTGGCCGACCATGTCATAGTGGCTTGTGAAAACAGCCCCCAAAACGTGACCCTTTCAGGAGACAGCGCCCAAATTGACCAAGTTGTGGCACATATCAAGTCTTCGAATCCGGAGACTTTTTGTAGGAAATTGGCTATCAAAGTAGCTTACCATTCAGGTGAGAAGAAAGCCCCTCTCCCTAAACTGATTTTGGTATGAAATGGTCGCCCCAAAGCACCGTTACGGGGAGAGGTAGTTGCAGGAGACAAGGGCCATATAAGGAATGAACCGGATGATACTGTATGCTGATAACAACACACTTCCAGAGTTCATGGGCCGCGTGGCTCAGGCCTACCAGGATGCTATCGGTCGACATATAGAACATGGCACGTCCATGCTGCCCATGTTTTCTAGCGTCACTGGCGAAATAATCACCAAGCCTGGCCAGTTAGATGCGGCCTATTGGCGGCGAAATCTAGAGTCCCCAGTGCTCTTCTCCGGGGCGGTCCAGAATTTGATCCAGCACACAGAGCACCGGCAGATATTGATCGAAATAGGCCCCCATTCGGCCCTTTCAGCCCCTATCCGACAAATATTCCAGAATATGACCGCGACAAAATACCCTCCCGTGTATATTCCCACACTGGTGCGGAATGATGATGATGCCCGGTCCCTCTTGCTCTCAACAGCAGGTCACTTAGTGACGATGGGACTCCCAGTTGATCTATCTGCGATTATTGGCCCGGGAAGAACACTGACAAACCTCCCACGATATCCATGGCAACATGACACTCGGTACCTGAGAGAAGGTCGACCATGCCAGGATTGGAGACTCCGATCACATCGGCAGCATGAGCTGCTAGGATCAAGGATTGGAGAGTCAACAGCCCTGGAACCGGCTTGGAGGAACATGCTCCACCTAGATAATGTCCCGTGGTTGTCGGAACATGTTCTGCAGGGCCAGGTAACCTTTCCTGGAGCAGGGTATATCGCCATGGCTGGAGAAGGAATCTACCAACTACATCCGGATATAGAGGGCTATTCCCTGCGAAATGTCCACTTCAAAGTCCCGTTACTCCTGCGTGATGATAACGCGGTTGAAGTTATCACAAGATTCAACTCCATCGAGCTGGCGGATGGGGTCAGTTCGGACTGGTACAACTTTAGCATCGCGGCATATGACGGGGGGTCCTGGAACATACATTGTCAGGGCCAGATAACACCGGGCCATCCACAGCCCCTTGAAGAATGCAAAGTCACGCACCCATTTCCTCGGCCTCTCGAGTCTAAGAGGTGGTATCAAAGCCTTCAACGACAGGGTCTGGAGTACGGGCCACGTTTCCAAGGGCTACAAGATATCACCGCTAGTCCGACCAGTAGAATTGCTTTAGGGACGGTAACCGATCCCCTCGAGCTCCATGAAAGCCGATACACAATCCATCCTTGCGCTATCGACCAGTGTCTGCAACTGATGGGGGTTGCGGCGTCGTCAGGGATTCCCAGCAGGCTCCGGAGGATGTATATACCGGCGATGATTGAACGGCTTTTTATCGCTAAGGGGGCCCCGAAGATGACGGTGGAAGTGGAGACTTGGGACGGATTGCGTCAAGGCCAATGCGGGAATGGCCTCGGCATGGTCGATGGCCGGGTGGTCTTTTCCATGCAGGGCGGTCTTCTGTGTGCTATAGACGCCCCAGGAGCGAACGATGCGCCATACCTGGCCTCGCGTATGGACTGGAAGCCAGACATCGACTTGCTCCCTTCGACCGGCTTGCTGCCTGAACCCCAACCCAACCCTGATTACGAAGACGCTGTTAAGTGTGGAGGCTTCCTGTGCTTGTTGTGCATTATCGCTACGGCGGAGCGTATTCGTCATGTTCATTCGGAGCAACCGCACCTGGTAAAATGGAAGGAATGGATCCTTTCCCAGGCCGCCATGGTCACGACTGGAAAGCATCCGAACTTCGTCTACTTGGCAGATTGGTACGACAATGTTGGCTCGGAGGCTCCTCCCATTCGCCGATTGAAGGACACATTGGGCGCATACGAAAAGAAGGCCAAGGAAAGCCAGGAGATAATCAACCCCGCGTTACCGCTGTGGGCACAGGTGAATCCGGTCGAAGCGGTCGAATCCATAGAACAGATGCTGAAAGATTCATCTGCTACCATTGGCGGCCACATTTTCCCATGCATGCTGCAGGTTTTCTCCCACTGCGTGGAGTTCATGACCGGGGAGCAGTCGGCTTTGGAATGCCTGATGGAGGACAATAGTTGGGAGACATTTTACGAATCACCCGCGGCGGAGACGGACTGGAGCCACTTTCTCAACCTGCTTTGCCATTCAAATCCTGCCCTTCGTGTTTTGGAAATTGGCGCTGGCTCCGGCTCCGCGACTAAGAGAGCTCTGCCGCACCTAAAATCCCATACTGGAGTGCGCATGTACTCGCGCTATGTGTTCACTGACATTTCGTCCGGCTTTCTGGCAAAGGCTCGGGAAAAGTTTGGCCAGGAGCACATGGAATACAGCACCTTGGATATTGCTCGTGATCCAGTAGAACAGGGCTTCGAACCTCACAGTTTCGACCTGATCATTGCTTCCAATGTACGTTTTGATGAGGTTGTGTTCCAGGGAAATCCATAATTAACCGCGTTACCTTCAGGTTCTTCATGCCACCCCAAGTCTCAACACCACCTTGCAGCACGTCCATGCGCTGCTGAGTGCAAATGGCCGTTTACTGCTTCAGGAGACTTATTCAGGTATGTCACTGGCTTATTCAAGGATCGACTTCTGACACTGCATTCAGATATGCTGTATACGGATTATATCATGGTGTGTGGTGCCCCCGGCGGGATCCTTTCCATTGTTCGGGTTACTAACATAATGCACAGGGTGTACTCCCCGGCTGGTGGTTAGGCGAGAGCGACCGACGAGCAGAGAAGCCTTACGTTTCGCCAGAAAGGTGGGACCAAGAACTGCGTGCAGCTGGATTTACGGGGACCGATACGACTGTGTATGATGCACGCCCGCCATGCCAGTTTTCAGCCAGTATGATTTCAAGACCGGTCGTTGACAGAGTCCTGCCGGAGAAGGTCACCCTTGTGACGCATTGTCCCAACGAGAAATGGGCAGCAGACGTCGAGGGGGAGTTTCGAAGCAAAGGACATACCGTCCACACGGCCCGGCTAGATCAGGTACCGCAAGACGAACGAAACAATGTCATCATTCTAGACAACGTCAAGGAATCGTTCTTCCACGATCTTACACCTGAGCGTTACCTTATGTTGCGACAGTTCCTGTGCGAGAGCAGGGAATGCCGGATTTTATGGATCACGCAGGCAACGCAATCAATCTCTCAAGACCCGAGTGCAGGAATGATTCATGGGCTTGCGCGAGCACTGAGACATGAGCTGCATCAGGATATTTCAGTCCTTGAAGTAGACCGTCTCGGCACCGGATCAGCCAAGGCCGTGTATGACATCCATGCGAAGATTCAGAGAGATAGGAATACGCCTCATCTGGATAATGAATACGAGTTTGCATATAATGACGGTGTGGTGCATACCTGCCGGGCCCACTGGACGCCGCTACAAGCGCAGCGCTCCCCGACGGTTTCATCAGAGACACCTCGAAAACTGGCAATCTCACAGCTTGGACGTCTGGATACGCTGCAGTGGATACCAAAGGCTATTAGCTCCCAGTTAGATTGTGGGCAAGTTGAGGTAGACATCACATATGCCGGTCTTAACTTCAAAGTGATTTCCCCCTCCCGGATTCATTCGGGAAACATACACTGACTTAGACAGGATATAATGGTATCGATGGGTCTCGTTGGCAAATCAGACGAACTTGGCATCGAGGCAACGGCTGTCGTTCGTCAGCTTGGCCCAGGTGTGATGGACCTGAAAGTCGGCGACAATGTGTGCATCATAGGCTCCGGCTTAATGGCCACTCGAACAGTAGTGTCGGCTCGGAACTGCATCAAATATCCTCAGCACATCTCTAGCCAGGATATGGCAGGTATGTGGACAGTGTATATCACTGCCATCTACGCACTGGTCCATGTTGGTAGCGTGCACCAGGGACAGGTCCGTTCGCCACATGAATATCAAATTTCACACTGACTGACCCATCCAACAGTCTGTACTAGTCCACTCCGCGGCGGGAGGGGTTGGCCTGGCATCCATTAACATCTGTCAACTGCTCGGCGCTGAGGTGAGTCTAGCGATCTGGAGGTCTCAAAACCGGTGGTTAATTCAACTTCTGACGTTGAAATATCAGATTTATGCCACGGTAGGGAGTGAGGAAAAGGCGCGTCATCTGGTTGACAATGTCGGCATTCCTCGAGAGAGAATATTCTGCTCGAGAGATGATTCCTTCCTGCCGAATATTATGAAGGTAACCAACGGTCGAGGCGTAGACGTTGTCCTAAACTCGCTTGCTGGGAAACTCCTACACGCGTCATGGGAATGCGTTGCACCTTTTGGAAAGATGATTGAGCTTGGGAAACGCGATTTTCTGACCCATGGCATGCTCAGCATGAGCCCCTTCCTTGCTAACCGCACCTTCGTCGGGGTGGACCTGTTCCAAATCTGCTGGGAGAACCTAGACTTGCGCGATAGGTGAGTGAAAGAACCCCTCATCGAGGTGTGGGGTTGCTAAGACCAAGTCCAGTATCAAGGAAACACTGTTCCGATATTTGGAGGAAGACAAAATCCGACCCATTCGTCCTGTAAGAGTGTTCGAGGCTGGCGAGGCAGAAAGTGCCTTTCGACATATGCAGGGTGGAACCCACATGGGGAAGATCGTCATCCAGATGCCATCGGAAAGGAACCCCCTCCCTTGTCTGGGGATTCCAGACACACCCAGCTTTTCTAACGATGTCTCGTATCTGCTCGTTGGAGGTATGGGCGGGATTGGGCGTTCTGTCTCAACATGGATGGTCGAGAACGGCGCACGGGAGCTTGTCTATCTATCCCGATCTGCGGGCCAATCCGACAGTGACCAGGCGTTCATTCGCGAGCTCAAAGCCCAGAACTGCAATGTTATCTGTGTGAAGGGCTCGGTCACCAACATGACAGACATAAGACGTGCTCTCAGCCAATGCACCAAGCGTCTCGCCGGCGTTCTGCAAATGGCCTTGACTCTGAAGGTAGGACCAATGCCGTAACGCCTTCCAAGGACAAATGGGGAAATCAGGAGCTAAATTATCTTTTTCACTTTCGACAGGACGGTACCTTCGAAGAGATGACGTACGAAGAATGGATGATGGTCCTGGCGCCAAAGGTGAAAGGTACATGGAATCTCCATCACGCTGTGGAAGAGATGTCACTCGACTTCTTCGTCATGTTTGGCTCTGTGGTGGGGACTGTAGGATCTGTCGCTCAAGCAAACTATGCGGCGGCCACGTCTTTCCTAGACGCATTTGTGCAATACCGTCGGCAGCGTGGGCTCCCCGCCTCAGTGCTCAACCTCGGCGCTGTTGAAGATGTTGGAATTGTCAGCCAACGTCAAGAATATCTTCAGAATATCCGAGTATCATGTATTCCACTCCTCTGCGAGAAAGATGTACTGGAAGGCCTATCCGTGGCTATCCAAGACTCCCCTAGTGGCTCGGAAAGTGGCAATCTGGTCGTTGGCCTAGGGCATACGAAGCCCATATCCGAGAGCTCTATGTTGCCTATGTGGGGACATGATGTGCGGTTCTCCTTGTTCAGCAACCTTCAATCGACCGTAGCTGTGCAAGCCCAGGTCGGAGATGACGAGCTGAAATCGCTGCTAGCCGAGGTGGAGCAGTGTCCTTCTCTCTTGGGGAAGACAGAGACCATCGACCAGCTCAGGCGTACACTAGGCAAAACCGTCGCAGAGAACATGATGCCAGGTAGAGAGCTAGATGAGGAGCAGGAGGCAAACCTGGTGATCGACTCCCTTGTGGCAATCCAGATGAAGAACTGGGCTCGACGAGTTGCGAAGGTCGAGCTCAGTCTCTCGGCCATTAGCAATGCCAACACGGTGGGCGGCTTGTCTACCTTGATTGTGGATCACATCAGGGCCAGGCACCAGCAAGACGAGATGATAACCGAGTAGCTCAACGGTTTAGCAAACTAGGGTTAATTCTGAATTCTCTTGCTGAGGTTCAATAGATAGCTGTGGAATAAACGATGGAAATGGTAAAAAGGATAGTAAATTGATGATGTTGAAGCTTAAAGAGGTCGCAAAAGGTTGCAAAACTGCAAGGATACAGATGGGGTGGGAAAAAGACTGCAGATCAGCTGGCCGCTTGCAGTCACTCCACAATAGCTATTTTGAAATTCGGGTGCTCCTCAATAAGCTCTTGTAGATGATTGTTATATCACAGGCTGCTCGCTCGGTAGGTATCTGTTTTATTCCCTGATAAGGGATCAATTAGTACTTGAGGATTGTCTCAGTGTCACCGCTAGGAGGCTGGGAAATAGGTCTTATTGCCACTCCTATAACCAAGTTAAGTTTGATATCCACATAGAAAGCTATAATAACAAATATCACAAGCCACAAACGCCACTCCTAGTCTCAAAAGGAAAAGAAACGCCTAACCATCACCTTGTAAAATCCCAATACAGGTAGGTAAGTCAGCCCCAAACCCAAACAATCCAATCCATTACTCGTCCCGTGCAATCCGTCGCAAAATCATAACCAGCAGCGCGATAAACAATCCGAAGATGGCTCGGTCCAGCCACGGCGTGCTGTTAGAGTTAGTCTGGGAAGCTGCAGCCGATCCCGAGTGGGCCTGTGTTGCGGTTGCGGGGACTGGTGGTGGGGCCGCTGCCGCTGCCTGCAGCGGGGAGGCGGGGGTTTGTGCCGGGGGAAATCCCGGGGTAATGGGTGTTGCTGCTGGTGTTGTGCAGATGAAGATGAAGAAGGTGGTGGAGAGGCGGGATTCAGAGGGACTGTAGATGTGGTGGCTGCTTGGGTTGAGCTCATAGAGGAGACTGGTGCGGCGTTCTCCGTCTCCTCTGCACCACTTTGTGGGTGCTGCGCTTGCTCCCCGCTCGTAGCCGTAGCTGCACCAGTCGTATCTCCAACATCGCCATGACCATCACCACCATCGTCACTATTCTGGGTATCACCCCGCGAGGCATCCCCATATCCCGTCAACACCCCCTCCCCCTCACCCTCATCATCAACATCCACCCCCATCCCCCGACACTCCTCCCTCCACTCCCCAAAATCACCTCATTCTTCCTCCCACAAGCCTCACAAACCCACTCCCCACTCCTCCCCGCATACTCTCTCCTCGCCTCCCGACTCGCATCCATCCCTCCCACCTGCCCCATCGCATCCGCATCCATAAAGCTCCTAATCGCCAACAACGAAGTCCGGATCCCCCAAGCCGGCTGCCACAGCTCCTCATGGTGTCCCGAGATACTAAGGCAGATCTCGCGGTTGACTTCGAAGCGACCCGACGGCGTCAGGAAGCGAAAGGACGGCGGTCGCAGCGGGTAGGTCGGCGGGAGCACGATGCGTCCGTGGTAGATGCCGCCTGCGTAGGCGGATGGCGCGGGCGGACCGGCGAGCGTGAAGTGCCATTCAAAGAGGTTGCTGTCTGAGATGGGAGCGGCGTGGAAGTGAGGGCTGGGCGAGGCGTTGAGCTCGGCGGCTTCTTTCATGAGGCGGCGGAGGGGGGCGCTCATTTTGTTGGGTATCTTTCTTTCGCTCTGTCTGTCTGTTTTGTCGATGACACTGTAGAAGGGGGGATATTTACGATTGGAGGGTAGGTGGCATGGGATAGAAGTTAGGGTGCGACTTTGCGATGTCGCGTTCAAGAGGTAGTGGTGGTGGCGTGGGGAATGATAGATAAGGAAGATGAGGAAGATGCCAAGTTGGCCGGAGCGGCGTGACGTCGGAGTCGGTCGGAGGTATTGGTGCCTGGAAGATCAGGCACCGAGGGGAGGCCGATTTGGTTCCGACATTCAGGGACACTATTATACTTTGGACTCAGGGGTTCATTAGACAGATAATGCATAGAGTAAAACATACAATCCATTATTGTACAGATTAAGCGCAAGTGTATGATTCATGTGCCTGGGAATGATTTCATGTACGTTGAGAATCCACCATATGAATTACATGTATGTACCCGATCACGGAATCGCTAGAAAGAATAAACATAGAAAAAATAAAAAAATAAAAAGGCAGAATAAAGGAAAGAGAAAAACTCTAATCCCAGTCCCGCCACTCATTCTCAGTTCGAGTTCGACTCGTAGACGCAGACCGACCAACGGCACCATCTCGATTATGAAGCAGATCGCCGTTCTCGTCGAGACTGCCTTCGAAATCACTATCGCCCGGCCGAGGACGCGGTGACATCGGCGCCAGCGTCTTCATCGAGACGCCCGTTGGCGGCCGCTCCGGGTCGCGGAAGCTCTCCAGGGGCTGACTGGGCGTCCATCGGGGTGATGCGGGCTCTCCGCCCGTCCAGGGCTGGCCGTTGCTTAGATTCCGCTGGTACAGATCGCGGTAGTATTGCTGCTGGTCCGCCGCCTCCTGTTCCCGGCGGTGGCGAAGGTTCTCTCGCGCCTCGACAAACTTCGGGCCTGGCTCCCAGCGCCAGCCATCCCCGGTCGTCGTACAGACGGGGACCGGCCATAGCAGAGGCCGGTCACCGAAGAGATGAAGCAGGTTGTTCCGCCACCCGTGGTCGAACGCGTTGGGCAACTTCTCGTTCTCTTCCTCGCTCAGATAGGCCTGATATCGGTCCTGTTCCCGCTGCCGTTCGAGCTCCGCGTATGATCGAGTGAGGGCCTGTTGGGCGGGGGTGCGGTCATCCGGGCCCGCCGGTGGCTGCCCCCCGACCGGAGGCACCCGCTCCTCGCCCTCCTCCGGCCGCGTGACCCCCGGGATCGCGTTCGCGTGCGCATCGAGGATCTGGTTGCCGTAGCCCTGGAGTCGATGCCCAAGGGTATCCGCATTGCCGTTGGTGCCCTCGCCGGACTGACTGCCCAGGATGTTGTCGTACCGCTGACGATCCAGCGCGTGCCGCAACGGGGAGACGTAGCGCGTCTTTTCCAAGCATTCGATGGTCGTCAGATTGCGGACGGCAAGGCTGACGTGCCACAGCGTGAACCCAGACAGCACCAGCCCGACGATCCCCCCAAGCACCGCCAGTAAGACCACGTTCACCGGCAACATCGTTTCCATGTAGCGGGTCTCATCGAAAACCTCGGTCCATATCCACACCGCGGCAACCGCGAAATCCAACCAGCAAAAGAGCGACGTATAGATGAGAAATAGTAGGAATGCCTTGTAATTGTACAGACCGACACACGTTGCCAGCCAGGGGCAGTGGTGGTCCATCTTCAGCACACACCGTTTACAGGTGGAACAGTGGTGCGCCCGATCCGGCTTGGGCAACTGACACTTCTTGCAGTATCGAGACGTGCCGGTCGAGCTGACGGTGAACGAGGTGTACTCGGGGAGTTCGGTAACGGGGAGAGCGCTATACTGATGCTGCCCACGGGAGCTACTCGACATCGGAGATCCGGGGTCCGTGAACACAGCAGCGGTATATGAGGCGTTGAGACAGATATAGAGGACCAGTCCGAGGAAGGAAGTCGGGAGGCCTAGAGAGCCGGAAGGATGCACTGGTCAGCAAGGCCGGAAAGCTTCCCCCCGCAGGTTCAAATTCGTTCGTATGATTCTGGTCCACCTACCAATCCACGGGCTTTGCGTATGCCGCAGCCCGATGCTGATTTCCACATACGCCGCCCAGCTTGTCAGGCCGTAGACAAATGCCAGCGGGAACATGGACGCCGCCGCACAGCAGTAGCGCTCGCATCGCAGCGCCCATGCCCGGGGCCGCCGCTTCGGCCAGGAGGGCGACGACGGCGGTGATGCAGCCAGGGTCGCCATAGTATAGATACTCGGAGGTTGGGTATGCCGTTGGAAGGCTGAGAGGTTTGTCCGCAAAGGGTTGCAGCAGAGCTTATATCATGGCGATCAGGCACATACGACGACAACGAACGGAACCGGAGAGGGAAGTTGCCACAAGAGGTCGGAAACCAAGACACGAAGATCGAACGAACCCAAAGAAGACAGCGACAAAGAGGAGTAAACACAAACGACTTGACGGCAAGGACAAAGGAGACGTAGAGAAACGAAGCGGAGGAAGAAGAAAGAAGGCGGAGGGATGGTCGGATGTCGGACTGCTGTTTCGATCGGGATGATTAATTACGCGCGATACATAACCGTACGGTTTAATTACAGGGTTTCCGTTTTTAGCATCCGCTCTCAGGCACCCACATTACTCAGCTACATCTACATACAGTATTTCTTGATACCCATTCACGATCACCTCGTCAAGTCAAAATACATTCATCTCGGATCTAAGATGGTCGTCCCGGAAACTTGTTGTGATGCACATGAAAATCTCCGCAATAATGTAGCCGTTGGAATCGCTTCCTTCCCAAAACGCCGGCAAACAATCCCCGGGCATATGGCACCCATAAATAAACCTTCCAGGACCCATCGGTAGGAAAAAGAACAGTAAACCCAGAAAAGAATAGCAGAGAAAAGATAAACAATCGAAGAGACACAAACTGCATGCGCAGGCGAAATATAAGAACATGGGTAGTCCGTCCTATCCTATTTGGGGTTATCTTCCGCGACGAATCCCCGCTGCTGATCCTTGCACCAGCCATTGACCGGCTAGAGAAAGAGGAAGGATTAAAGGTCAGTCCACGGAGCGCGCATCGTCGAGAAGGTCAGACTTACCAGACAACTCAGTCGGTAACACCACGAGCAGGTGGTCTCGTAATACTTGTAAAAGTTCACGATGAGGTAGATGAAGCCGATGATGACCGCCACCAAGGCACCCGCGCGAACCAGCCACCACGCCCACCAGAAGGGCTTGCGGCCGCGGAAGAAGTTCAAGGGACTCTTCGAGGGCTCGGAGGACGCATTCGCCCCCTGTCGACCCTTGAGGAAGCCGAGGAAGCCGGGGCCATGGTGGGCCTTGTCCTCTTCGGTTTCCGCCGCGGCCGCCCCACTCATCGCGACGTAGGGGTTCCGCGCCAGACCGATGCGTTCTCGAAGGGCGTTGGGCGACCGCATCAGACAGAGGCCCATGGCCAGACCCATGATGAAGCCACCAATGTGGGAAAAGTTGTCCAATCCGGGGAGCAGGCCTAAGACGAATGAGACGGCAATCCCTAGGACCATGATGATCAGTTCAACCCAAGGCGACACCCGCTCATTCCACGAGTAGAGAAGATCCAGCACGAAGAGCGCGAGGATCCCGAACAGGGCTCCCGAGGCTCCGCAGGAGGCTTCGAGCTGCGACGCATAGTTCCCACCCAGGACGAACCCCCAAATGCCGCTGGCGATATACACGAGGCCATACCGCCACCATCCGATCATGCGCTCCATGTCGACGCCCATGGTCAACTGGACCACCATGTTGAAGCCGATGTGGACAAATCCGCTGTGGAGAAACATAGGGATGATGAACCGGTACCACTGATTGGGTTGGGGGTGGCTGTCCAGCGGTTGATTGCCCACCGGATCGGGGACCCCACTAAAGCCACACACTTGTGACAGCTTGCATTTGGATTCGTTCGTGGTAGCACCCGGGCAGGGAAAGAGCACCGGCTTAGCATGGTTTTGTAGCTTGTCGACGTTTTTCATACAGGGAGTAAAGCGCGAGCCCATGTTGACCTGGAGCCATATCGATGGACCGATCATGGGGTTGATCTGGGGCTTGGTCTGAATCGGTGATCCGCTTAGTTGCGCTGTAACAGGGACCGGTTAGCTCCTTTGAAGTCGTGGATCGTCTTGTCTCTCGTCCGCGCCAGGAATACATACCCGACTTCACCAGCTCCACGATAAACACCACAACCTGAATGAGAGTCAAGGTATACGTGACCCAAGGGAGCTTCTTCTTGAAGAACCCTTTCTTCTGCTTCCGCCCCGCGCGCACGGGTGGTTCCCCCATCTCCGGCCCCGGCGGGCGCTGCATCGGCTGTTGTTTCGTCCAATCCGGCGACGAACCGTCATTCGCATATTGATCCTGGGATTTTAAGGGAATGTTCTCCGAATACTGATCCGCTTCGTTGTGTCTCCCTCCGACGACATGTCCTGATTCCGAGCCCAGGGACTGCTGGCTATACCGGAGGTGGTTGGGATCGCGATCGGTGGTGGGCGAGTAGAGATGGCCGCCGGGGCCCGGATAGCCAGTGTAGACGGAAGAGGGAGCCGGCGATGGCGAGGGCGTGGGCCGGTTGAAGGTGTGCGTCGGAGGGACAGTGTGATCATAAGTCGGAGGATTGTTGCCGTACCCGGTGTTGTAGTAGTCGTGGGACGCCATATTGACCGGAGGGCGCAAGGGATGGGATATTGTCTCTGTCCCCCAAATTGCCGGCTAATTTAAATCGAGATGCGATAGGAGGAAAGGGGGGAAAGGTATATATAACAGTTGTGAAATCGATCGGGCGCTATACGGCGCCAAAGTCGACAATAGACCGTGCGGTGCAGTTAGTTGTCAACACGCGGCCCGCGGTTCGATTGGGGCGAGAGCCACACAAGACCCCTGGAGGCACAAACGATAGGAACCTCGGCCACGTGCGAGGGGAAAGTCAATACAGGAAGGTAATTCCAGTCGGATCCCATCCAAATATCGACGAAATCAATTGAAAGAAGGAGGAATGAAAGCAGACCGCAAGATCGATGGAAGGAAAATCCTGATGAGGGCGGTGTAGGAGAGATGGACAGAGAGAGAGAGAGCTGGAATGGATGGATTAATTCGATTTCAACAGAAATGACAAAGTTACCGTGGTATGTGACTAGTTATTACTCCGTTGTCTGGGGCAGAGTCTGGTTAGGCTCCCAAGTTCGTAAACTGTCAGTAATTGCTATTTTTAACGCCGATCATTGACACTCTCGTCATCAGCCTCTCTCCCGCCAATTCTATGCCTCTGCCTAATGGACTGAGCCACACCATCTGTTTCATCCTTCTGGTTCTTAAGTCTACGCTAGCCACGTAGACGCTGGTTAGCACCACGGAGGCATCCAATTCGAGATCAAAGGATCCAAACAACAGTGTGATGTGTTTGATGACATTAAGCATTTTCAAACGGGTTAACCCGAGTCGCAAGAAGTACAACAACAATCCTAACAAGAAACCAAACAAAAAAGCACCGAGTGATATCGCTTTCGGTGATGGTAATATAAGAATGATGCTCCCAATGATGACGCGCAGACAGTGGTCCGAATGATAAACCAGATACCCATGTATACGCAACTGACCAATCCCAGATGGAGAGGAGCAGTGATTAAGAACAAGACTCACGCGTGGCCACCTTGTCCACCGTTTTCAGCCCCCCGCTCGTGTTCGCGTTTAATTCCATCCAATGCAATCTTTGCCGTTCAGTTCATGATGTGCGCGCGGAGGGAAGTATGCGATCTTGACGGAGAGCCCGTTAACGTCGCCCCCGATTAAACTCCCGCAAAGGAGAACAAAAAAAAAAAAATGACAGCCAAGAGAAGTTCGAAAGATCGAAAGATCGAAAAATAGAGAGAGATGAGATAAAGCCGTCAGTTCCCCAAGACCGCAGGGCCAACCCGATCCGGGGGACCCGACGGCAGAGAGTTACCGAGAGTGAAGGGCCGAGATGGAAGTGACATGGGTGTCGAGGATCCCCAGCGCAGCGCCCATCTCTTGACTGCTGTGACCCGTCAACAGCCAGACGAGGCGGGTCAACTTCTGGTACAGCAAGGTCGGGAAGTAGAGCAACAGGGCCCAGAACAGCAGCGACAAGACGACGAAGACAAACGAGTTGGCCACGAGTTTCTCGCCGGGGGTCATGACGTACAGCCCGAAAGTGACCTCGTAGCGGTAATATTCCAGGCGGACGCGGTCGAGACACCGCAGCACGACATTCCGACGTTTATTTCGCGCGGGGAAGCTGCTGGCGCTGGAAGCCCCGGAAGAGGTGGAGGACATGGAGGAAGAATATTTGGTGATGAGCTCGTCGACGGCCGCCGTGCCGTGGGAGGAGATATGGTTCGACGTGGAGGGGGTATAGAACGATTGCATTTCGGGTGCCATTGTGACGGTGGACCTTGATCCTTCATGTAATATATATAGTCCTTAGTTGGCCTGGAGATCCGAGAGGCTCCTTCCTCCTGTATTCTTCTGTCCTTGTTCCAATCCTCCCAAACGGCGTGTTGTATACCGGGTTGATGTGGTTCTCCCCCGATTTGCCCTGGAGATATCCCACTTTCGCTTCCTTCACAGTGTCCTTCGACCTATTCTGCCTTTCTTTCCTTGTCCTTCTCTTCGGATGTATAATGCACGGGGAAGGTGCCCAACTGAGGATCAAATTTCAGGCGAGATCAAGGCCCGGATAGGTGTGGAAACCGGAAGTGACGGAAGGGCCGTGGAAAAGACCCCAATCGGGAGGACAGTCCAGAAGGGAAAATGAACCAAAAACACAGACAAAGGAAATTAAATTAGAATTAGAACAGTAGGAAATAAGAAAGAGTTTGTGTATGTAGACATATATCAAATTAGCAATATCAGGAGGAGGAGTAGTATACAGAGAGAGGAATCGAAGGAAGGGAGGAGAGAGAGGGAGAGAGAGAGAGGGAAGGGAGGGCGAGCCTTAAGAGAGGAAGCAGGCCGGATCGGGTGGGACCAACTACGGCCTCAACCACTGAACTATTATTATTATTATATTATATACCTCCAGGCCAGGTAAGTAGGCTCGAAGGAACGAACCAGGAAACTCCAGGAAATCAAAAGCCAGGCAATGCAGGACTACATCAGTTCGGAGTTAGTAATTTATTCGGATGATCGGTAGAGCGCGGATAGGGCATAATAATAATAATAATCTAGCAGTACAATAGGAAATAATATCAGGAGAAAGAGTATTCAAATAGAATTATTCCATTAAACCCAGCCTTGCCAGAGCTATGCAGATCAGTCCTATTTCTTACACTTGCGCCTTGATTCATTCCTCCAAGAGTCCCCTAGATAGGCAAGTAGTCCATGGATTAATCGAGTAATTAAATGGTTCTGCAAGCTTTGCGTCATGGATCCAATCAGAGTGAACGACGAACGGCACTTTTGGAGGAGAGGATTCGAACTATACCCTCTTCGGTGGTTGTCGTAGTATTAGTGTTGAGTATGATCCGGATATCCCATGCTTGGTACTGGATAGTTCTCCTCCTCCTCCTATGACATGCCACCGTTTGGCTCGATCGACGGAATCCTTGCGGATTCGGGATGAATCTTCATTTATCCACTATCCCCGTCTGTCGTGCCCATCTATCCTTGCCCGTTGACAGTAGTGGCCATATGACAAGAACCGAATGACTCTGTCTTGACTCAGTTGACTGTCGCATTGACTTCCATATTCTTCCAGCCTTGCCCCAGAGTCAGCCCACTAATTGATCCACTTGGCCGGATCCGGTATGTATCGACGCAACGCCTTGGGACGATCGCGTGCACGTCCCTCGGTTTGGGGGCGATGCCTTTTGGAGGTCTCTGGCCCTGCACGATGCTGGTGTGGGCAGTTACTCGTTCGGGATAGATGTTACTATCCTGTAGACCACGAACTCCGAGACGTATTTCGTGTTCGGGTTGGGTACTTCCCATGTGGGTGACGATGGATCAATCACAGAGAAATGAAGATCCGCAGTGGCTTGTCATGTGATGCGCCCTAGCAAAAGTTTATTATGCAGTTATGCATCTGGGTGTGGATGGATCACATGACGTACTATGCGCACTTTTATGAATCTGACAAAGATGATGCACCAGAATTGAGATTATGCATCCCGTGATCCAATGGACGCTGTCCCTGTTCCCAACCATGTATGGCAGGCAAAAGATCTTCCTTCTAGAAGTCCTTTCCCCGAATTATATCCACTTCAGTCCAATCCAATCTATCACATATATAGTTCTCTACAGAGATTTATTCAACAACCCATGAGACTCCCCACGTTGGCTGAAACTGGCTTAAATCCACCGCATGACGTCATCGCATCAATTCAATCCTTCGACCCTCGTTCCGCACGCGGCTGACACACCACCACACACTCTCCCCTTTTCATCTCCCACCTCACTCCCTCCTGTGAACCGCTCTCCAAACGCCCTTCTCCTCTTCTCTCTTCCTTTGTGTATACTTCATCGTCATCATGGCCGAGGAGGATCCCCTCATCAAGACTTTGCCCCCAGCCACCGACTACCTCACCTATCTCACCGTGTTGGAGTACCAACTGACCCCCGCTCGGCTCCCCACCTTGCACAAACTCCTCCAAGATGAGACCCTAACCACGAATATTGGCTGGGACCTGGTCCAGCTCCTCCTTCCGATGCTCCCCCGGTCGTTGGAATGCTTGCACGACATCGCCCGCCTGGGCAACCCCAGAGAGGTCATCCTGCGGGTATCGGACGCCTTGATGAAACTCGAGCCGGACGAGGATGAGGAGGAGGAGGAAATTGCAGAGGTCAAGGAACCCAAGGGCCCGGCGCCTGTCGCGGGAGATGCGCAGTCGGGAGATGTCGCCGTGGAATCGGACGATGAGGCCAAACCGCTACCCCGACACATTGTACAGTTCAACACCCTCCTCGGCATGCTCTCCGTTCTGCATGGGCGGATTCGGACCAAGTCCCCCAGCCGGTTCTTGGCCACTTCCATCCAAGCCGTTCTCGAAGCCTATACTACGATGCCCACGAACGAGACCACCCTTGCCTTGCTCGAATTCTTCCGTGAAGTCTCGCCATCGAAGCGACCCGCACCCCCGCCCCGCGCCGCTAGCGAGTCCTCCCTCTTGCGGGTGGCCCAGGCGTCGGCGCCCGACCCGGAGGCAGAGGAACACTCCCACATCCCAGCCAGCATCAACGACGAGTCGGTCCTGGTGAAGAGGTTTTTGCAGTTTGGACTGGTCGAGCTCCTCAAGTCGTACCTCTTGAGCTTCTCAGGCCCCACGGATCCGGGCATGTCTTGGGCCATCCGGCTCCAGGAGAAACTGCACCCCGAGAAGCGCATCCCCAACAAGGCCTCGCCAACCGACCAGTACACCAATGACCAAGCTCTGCGGGAACGAGACATGATCATGGCCAAGATCACCGTAAGTGGACTGGCTGTCCCCCTAGAAGATGTCGCGTGACTAATGTTTCGTCCTAGGCGCTCTCTCGTGATTTCGGCATCGACGACCAACAGCTCCTCGATATAGTGGCTGGACCACCTGAGGCGCAACCTCCTCCGCTGGACTTCGACGAGCCGCCCCGTACGGCTGATCAGATTCCGCTCGAGCGACACGGCTCGCTTCTCCTCTTGGCCGCGCGGGCCGCCATGGCGGAGCTTTTCAGCTCCGGCCAGATCACGCCAATCCCCGTCTTCCCAGACCTGGCGCGGATCTTCTCCAACTTCATCAGCCAAGAGAGCACACCCGACGAAGTGGCCTTTGGCCATCCCCAGCCGTTGCTCGACTCCCTACTCACCTTGACCGTGTTCTCCATGGAGCGGTCTCTCGGGGAGATCAATAATGAGAAAGAGTTCGGCGAGTTCGTCCTGACCCTGACGGCCTGCACGGCGCGCCAGAGCTATGGCTCTATCCGGAACATCCCCGGGGCAGTCGTTCACAGCCATCCCTCCGAGATCGTCCGGTTCAAGCTCATCCGCCAAGTGCTCGAGCAGGAGCGCCTCCGCACGCTCCGAGACAGCGCCATCGGCTGGCTGAAGAACGAGATACTCAGCGCAGCCAACTCGGAATCCAATTCCAGCGTCTTCCTGAACCCCCACTACTTCTCCGTCCTCTTCCCCTCAATCTTCAGCGCGTCCGCTCTCGCCCTCAACGTCTCCACCGACATCGTCCCCTCGTGGATCGACTTCTCGCAGACGCTCGCCCCGTGGATCCACTCCGCGCTCAGCCTCTACTATCTTTTGATCTCGTCGCCGACGCTGCGCACGACCCTCCAGCTCGAGAAGACGTACGTCTTCTTCCGCAGGCGCTTCCTGGAGCCGCTCAAATCGGTCTGCCACGCCTTCGAAGCCGACCTGGTCGCGAACGGCGGGGACGGCCGAATCGAAGCCGCTGTCGGGGAGGACATGTGTGAGGCGGGGATGGCCCGGTCTGTGGGGCTGATCGGGCACGCCCGCGACCAGGTGGAGGATGCGGTGGGGGATGCTTTCGTGATGGAGGACCAGGAACTGCAGGAGCCGAGTGCGGATGATATCGCGCGGGTGGATCAGATCCGGAAAGAGACGGAGCCATCAGTTTAGTTGGTCTGTCAATGTGCTGTATATATGACGAGATGATATGACATTTTATTTATTCATTTATTTTCTTTGAAAGATATTTACCATGGGCAGTCTGTACGTCCCACCCTGTATTACTCTAGATGAGCAACTACTCTCAATGGACCAACCAACCAACCAAGCAATTAATGATTCATAGAATCCGACAGAAAAACAGAAAGATAGAAAGACAGAAAGATAGACAGATAGACAGATAGAACAATCAATTCAAACTATCCTACCCATCAAAGCATAGACTATAAAGTAGGTAAAAAACGACCAACAAAAAACCGAGTCCTCCTTTAAAACCAACCAAATAAACCAACCACTCAAGCAAGTACTGCCCCCCCCCAAACCACAAGATAGATACATAGATATTGAAAAAGAGCGTAGACCTCCAACTCCCACCGTCACACCTCGTCCCCTGATTTCTGCTTCCGCTGATGTATGTGTGGATTTTCTGTGGATTTTCTTTGGTGTTTGTGCGCGAGGAAGGGAATGGAAAGTGTCGTGGTATGAGATTGCGTGTTGGTCGTTTTGTGGGTTGGGGAGGATGATGGTCGGGGCGGGCGACTGGTCATTATATCGTTTGTTGCTTGCTTGGTTGATTGATAGATAGATTGATGGTTGGTTGGTACTCACTCACTCGCTTTCAAGGAGCAGGAAAGCAAGTGAGAGAGAGAGAGAGGAAGACTCGGGCAATCTCATGGCGCCTTAGAAAGGCGCTTACATGATGATGCAACCACCGCCGGCGGAGGCTATAGATCTGTTAGTTCATTTCCATATACTATTGAAGACAGTATACTGTATTGACCACAGTATCAAGTCAAGAGAGCGAAAGATAGAGGGAATGGGGAAGAACATACCCTTGGTGACGGCAGCGTTCTGGGCAACTTCAGAGGGAGACATTTTGAATTGAGAAGGTTGGATTGCTAAAGAGCAAAGATTGGTTTTTTGAGTAGTAGTAGTAGAGTGAGAATGAGATACAAGAATGGATGAGGAAGGAAAAAAATGCTGGTTGGGGGAGGATGAGGAGGGTTTTTATAGATTTTTGGGATGGAGTTGTAGGGTTGCGATCTGTGTATAGATTAGCATTGCTGAGGAGGGATAGCTAGGTGAGGCTCTGTCTGCCAATGCACATGAGGCGAAAGGGATGGTATTCTTCGGCGTGGATGAATTGGATGTCGGGCGAGGCTTAGTATTGTTCTGGACTGATGGGAGATCATGTTTGTATTCATGTGGGCTGTTTTTGAATGGGGCGAATTGGGATTGAGGTATTTTCTGAGAATGTATGAATTTGGGTGGAATGGGAAGACTTTTTTTGGATTGACGCGTTGTGAGATAGAGGAGGTGATAGAGATCAATACAGATGAAGAGTTCTTGATATTGTTCTCCGCCGAACAATCCATCCCGGGTCTTCTTTGACAACCACCAACCCAGTTCTTGGCCCAAAGAAAATATCCAATTTCATTCGTTACAAGAAGACTATCAAAGAAAGCCAAATCCACCAAGACAGGTACTAAACAAAATCAAGTGTAAATCGGCTCCGTCAAATCGTTCAAGGCCAATCCCGACTTGGCCACATCCTCCTCAATCAAGAACATCAGCGGCATCTCCACCAACGTGCCCTTAACCTGGCTCAGAGTCTCTTTCACTTCCCTCGCCCCCTCAGGACCCGGAGCGAAGTCGTCGCGCACGACGTGGCCATACGCATACCGCGCGCGCGGCTCGTCGCGCGCCTGCCCAACAGCCTGCTTGTCGGAGTTGTGGAAATAGTACCCGTAGAACTCCTTGTACGTCGCCCAGTTGCGCACCGTGTCGTCCGGCACCGAGTGGAACACCTTGCGGAAGGCCTCGGTGTTGGTCCGCGCCCGCGTGTTCCACAGGCTTTGCAATGGGTCTGCCAGTGGGTCCGCCACTAGCTGGCTCTCGGGGGCGTCGAAGTCGAACGCGTTGGGCTGCACGCCTACGGGCTCTGAGTTGGCGTCGGGGCGCTCTGGGTCCTGTGGTGGCAGGAGGCCCAGGTGTTTGCGGAATAGCTGTCGGCGGAGCGAGGCCGCGAAGCGGCTGGCTGTCCAGGGTTGGCCGTTCATCTTGGATGCCACGGGCGTGTGGTCTTCGATGACTATCGCGATCTCCGAGTCGTGGTCGCCCAGCTGGGATCGGTCGTTCAGGTTGGCTGAGCCGCAGATCACGATGCGGTCGTCGGCAATCATCACCTGGTAGGATTAGTTGCTTTATTCCTTTTATTTCATATGTGTGCTCATCTTACCTTGGAATGGACATAGAGCTCCTCGGTCACGAAAGCGTCGATCTCCGCCTCGGCGGGACCATCCCAGGGCACCTGGCGAAGATCCTCCCCGTGCAGCATATAGCACGAGCTCACACTGTCCCAACAAGCGCGCCCGGCCTTTGACTGCCCCGCCTGCTGACCCGCCTGCTGATACTGCTGGAACGGCGCGCTGGTATCGAACGCAGTCCGCGGCGCACCAGGGCCGTAGCCGCCCGGACCGGCCGTGGTCACATCCTGCTGCTTGCGAGCGTCCTCGTAATCGACACCGCTGCGACGCTCCGCCTCCCTCAGAGGTCCGCTCAGGTTGATGCGATCATAGTTGCGGAGGTTGTAGAACCGGATGTACTCCATCGGGTTGTACCCCTCCTTGGCAATCAGCTCCATGATACTGCTGCCGCCACGGTTGATGGCGTTGTACTGGAACTCCATGATGGCGCGGGTCCCCAGGGTGGAGTCGTCGGCCAGATCCCCCGCGAAACACGGCACCGATGGGATCACCACGACGATCTTGTACTTCTGGCCTGCGCGCGCGGCCCGCAGAATCCGCTCCACGATGGCCGCGCCGATCTGGTTCTTCACCGGTGCCTGGGCGTCGCCGGTGGCCGTGATGAAGAACTGGTTCTCGATGTACACGAAGTGCTCGCTGTTCTGGATTACCGCCGCGTAAGCGTCTGCGATCGAGTGCTCCGTGGGCGTCCCGTTGCTCCATTTCGCACAGCTGCGGACAATCTGGCAGGTCATGTTGCCGCGAGGCTGGGTCGACGGTCCGCCGTGCGGCGTCAACCGGTCCTGGTATTGGTGGATCTGGCCAGCTAGCTGGCCGCGCAGGGCGTTGCCGTACTTGTCGAAGTCCTCCCGGAAGCGACGTGGCACAAAGCCCGACACTTTTTCGAACCCACTCTGACCACCGGGCCCGCGCGCAACCTCGTAGTTCTCGTCAAAGCCCCGCGTCTGGGAGTGACCCGATGGCTCCTGGCCGTGCGGTGGGGGGAAGTAGGGCACCTGGCTGTGGGCCTCCGCCTGAGCTTGCGGCGTTCCCTGGGTTGGGGGTGAGTAGGCCTGAGCATTCTGGTGGGGAGGGGGGCCCGGGGGCGGGGGAGGGAACGATTGGCCGGTGTAGTTATACTGCCCCGAGGACGGCGAAGACTGCGGATAGGCCGATGCACCGGTATTGCCAGGACTCGAGTATGGTGGGGATGACGGTTGTTGCCAGGTCGGCTGCGCCGCCCCGTGCTCCGGGGAAGCATGCTGCTGGTAGGTCTGTTGCTGGGAAGTCTGTTGCTGGGGAGTCTGTTGCTGGGAAGTCTGTTGCTGGGAAGTCTGTTGCTGGTAGGTCTGTTGCTGGTAGGTCTGTTGCTGGTAGGTCTGTTGCTGGTAGGTCTGTTGCTGGTAGGTCTGTTGCTGGGGAGTCTGTTGCTGGGGAGTCTGTTGCTGGGAAGTCTGTTGCTGGGAAGTCTGCTGCTGGTAGGGCTGCGGCTGGGGGTTCGCCGAGTGAGGTTGACCCGATGAAGTCGGTCGGCTGGAGGACGCCGGAGGACGGCCGTACAGCGCCAGTTTCGCATACCTCGGGTCATTGCGCGACTGGTACTTAGTGTCCATGATGAAGTTCCAGCGTTCCACGAAGTGGCGCCGGAGGTCCTCCACGACGACACCGTGCAGGCTGACGGAGATATCGGACCATCCCATCCGGGAGCCCTGCTTCCGGTCCAGCTGGTTCTGCTCCCAGTGGGCCACATCCTGGAAATCGGCCACGCGAGCGTTATTGTAGTCTTGACCAGGGAAGACGATCTCTCTAAGGTCGGTGGGGTGGACATCAGACAGGCAATGCTGGTTGGTGTCCCAGCGGCCAAAGCACATGTCCAATCCACCCATGAAGGCGGTCCGGCCGTCGATCACACACAGCTTCTCGTGGTGCGCCCAGTAGAGAATGACGTCGTCGTTCATGCCGTAGATGCCCTTGATGGCATCGCCTGACATCTTTACTAGACTGGGGGCGTCCAGGGACAGGTTCTGCAAGGACTCCGTGATCGAGGCATGCAGCCCTTGGCGATCCGGCAGATGGTCCGGATGGCGGAACACCGCGATATTAGGATGCATGTCTTCCAGACAATGCTTGGTATGATGTGACGATACTGGGAAGGGGTGTTAGCAGGATGGACGGCGTCATCCTCACCAGAATAAGGATAGTCACATACGGGTGAGCGCCTGAGTAACCTCCTTGTAGACGATGATATTGACTTTCACTCCCCGTTGCGCGGCAGCCTGCAGCATGCGATCCAGTCGGTATTGCTCATTTTTCGCCGGAGGTCGTCGCAGATACAGCTCCGGAGACAACCACCCTAGTCACGTCAGCCCCAATCTCGTCATCGTACGCGGGGATTTAAAGAAAGGGGACACCCATACAGTCCAGAATCCAGACCGATTCTCGAGCGGTCTCCAGCGCCTTGGAAACGGCGTAGAAATACGAACACCCATCGACGTACCACTTCACGTCATTCCCCTGGCGGTCCGGCGCAAAGCTACCGAATCGAGTATTGTTCGCAGGGTTCGCGCTCTGGCCATATTCTGCATAGGCCTGCGGGTCCAGCGCATTGCCCAGACGCTGGGCGAAATCGGTTCCGTACCCCGCCACGGTGCCTTGGAGCTTGCCAAACATACCAGCCAGTTTGTCCGGCTTTGCGGCCTGTGTGCTCTGATACTCGGGGTCTTGATACGGGGCGTTTGGCGGCCGAGTTGAAGTTGATGCGCCAGGATACTGATGGGAGGCGGATTGGGAGGACGGGCCCTGTGTGGTCACTCACGCCGGTTAATCTCAGATCTTTCCCTCCTCGGGGCACTAGATGTCATCGCAACTAAGGAAAAGAACTGTACCCCGTATGCGCCTGCAGGATCGCCGTGAGCGCCTCCCGGCTGGCTGTGGTGGGTCTTGTAGGTGTTCTTGAGTTTCTTAAAAGTATCGCCGACGAAACCACGCGCGGTGTCCGCTCCGGATCCATCATCCTGGGAGTGATAATGGCCATAAGCCAGGGGGTCCTCGCGGTGGGACATGATCGAATAAGGGATGAGGGGGGGGGGGGAGTAGAGAGTAGAGGGGTATAGAGGAAGCGGAAGAAAGAGAAGCGGGGGATGGCATCTATTATAAAGGTCAGCTCAGCTGCATGTAATTAATCCCAGGGATTGCTAGGTCATCTACTTACGGAGTCCTTTACCGTCTTCACTCTCCGTCCAGTTGGATTCCGAATCTATCCTTAGATCCCGCTCTGTCCGTTGTCAGATTCAGACAGACATCCTATTCGATTCAGTACTGTCGGATGCCCCGCTATCCCGAAACGAGACTTCCCCTCATTAGGCTGCCACCTGTTTGATAATTAATGAGCTTGGTCCTTCATCCAATCCGCGTCTATGCGGTGGACCGTGAAACCTCCCAGCTTCTGAATTCAGCTGATGCGCTATGTCTGTGGCGGTGCAATGCCCCTCTTTCAGCTGGAGGGCAGGATTGATGGTGCCATCATCAAACGGGCTTCTTATCATTGGTGAAGAGGATTGTAGTCCCATGTTGGTGGATGATACTTTGCCACACGATCAAGACCGGATCGCCGTGAAAATACCGCCATAAGTGAGATACCCAGTTGCACTATGTCCTCTATATATATTAGTACAAGGCACGTCAAACTACACTTGGAGTTTGGGGACCGTACTGCGAACGTGCCATTGACGCCGATTATAAGAGACCCATCCGTGGAGTACAAATCACGCCCTAGGAAGATGACCTGATGTGGGGAGAGTAGTCAACGGTGATGTGATGCGGGTTGGGTTCCATCCATCCTGCTTGTAGCCCTGTCAACTGTCGATGTGGTATGCCAGCCAGCGGGGCTCCCCTATCAAGCCATCAACAATTCGCCAAAACCCCCACTGATTTTTCGAAACCGGCAGTACAACAATATGGACAATATATAATAAGGTAGAAAAACTGTGATAATGTCATCCTCAGTGGGGCCTATTCAAGTTCGCATTACAGGCATCGTTCGTCACTCGTACTGGCCAGCAAGCTTTGAAGCACACATTGAGATACCAACTCAACGCCCACCCGGTAGTTATGTCGCCCACTGGCAAAAGGATACAAAAGCTCATAGCGAAGAAAAGTAAGAAATTGTCCGTTGGGCGTGAGTCGCGACAGTAGACAAAAACAAAGCAACATGGCGCCGGCTGGTCCTTCCGAGACCCCTAAACACTTGAATCGTCCATGGAGGAATCACCATCCTCAGAAAGCGTGGGATAGTCATCGTCTGCAGAAGAACTGAAAAATTTACCATCCTCAGAGGGAATGGGATCGTCATCTTTCTCAGAAGGAATGAGGTCGTCATCGTCCTCAGAAGCCATGGATTCGTCTGGACCCGGGACAGGCATTGCTGTGTGCTCATCATGCCATCGTAGAAGCGCTAGGATATGGCACAATGCAATACGCCGCCCCTCAGGAGACTGAAGGTTAAACCATTTAGTGGTGCGCATGTAGGCGAACGTGTCGTTGTCTTCATCGTCGACCAAGACTCTCTGGTCCTCCTCGGTTGAAGCGGCTATGTATTCCTCGTAGTCGGAACCGAATTGGAAGTGCACAAAGCGAACGAAGGTGCTCGTACTAGCGATGAGGAAAACACTGCTTGCGGATACCAGTATCAGCCCTGCGGATCAAAAATATCTTGGACGTGAAAAGGACAAGGAGCGAGTGATCTACCCCTGATGCTTGGACTGCCTGGCGGCTCTCCAGGAAACCAACGCTTCACCGAGGTACTGAGCCAAGGTCGCATTTGATATGACTGGCTTGAGTTGTCCGTTTGTCTTGTCAAAACGCATGTACTTGAAAGCCTTCTTCGCCTCAAGCAGGGCTAGGGATGGGTTCCTCATCGCCCAACCCTGATCATGGTGGCGCACCTTGCAGATTCCACCGTCATCTTCCGCACTGATTTGATATATCCCAGCCACGTAGGTTGTACACTTCCTACGCTTCACTCGCGTCTGTACCTCAAAACCATCTGTTGAATCCTGTGAAAGACAGAGGTTGAGGCCAAATTGGAGAAAACAGACCAGGAGGTGGACCGTCACTTCCTCCGGTTTAGTTCGCCGCGTTTCATGTTGATCCTCATCGACCTCGTCGGGGACAACTTCAGACTCGGACGAAGATGGCTGCGACGGGGAGGACGAGCCTACGATGGCGGTTGTAGAATTAACATACCCAACACGCGCCACAGGCCGCCTCTCTCGCTGGGGTAAGACTCTTCGCTTGGCAACAGCCTCCGCGCGAGATGCCCGAGCAAGTGCCACCCAGAAAAACCCGCCCGGCAGCTGGAGAAGCTTGGAGTCTGTAGTGTTCAACAGGTCAAGCTCGCAAGTCGATGTGAGGATTGTCGCCCATTCGTGATCGATTTTCTGCGAACAGGATTCCTCAGGATAGCAGATCGGGCAACTCTTATGCTCTTCTCATTCTTGATATCTTCCAGAAAGGACTTCTCGGGCAGCGTGAGGAGTCGATAACCAAGCAAATGTCGTAGACCCCATCGACTAGCAGAGCTTTTCAACTCCTTATCTGTCAGGTGCGCAAGAAGGTCTATGCCTCCACTCTTCTCAGACAGTCGTCTGAATTGCTCGGGAGTCTCAGCGGAGTACAGAGGGCTAGTCATGCTGACCGTGTACTCGATGTCTACCCTTTCTTTTTCGAAGCATGGTCAACGGGGTGGTCCTGAGACTAAACGTAGGAGGTACAAGTAAAGGAATACGCCTCTGATCGGGAGTTAAATGACCGGCAAGGAGTACCTACCTACCTAGAGCACGCGGTGAAAATGACGTTGATGTTGATAAACTAAACACTGTGGAGAGTGAGCGACGCAAAGTGAGCAATACAGCGAACGTGGGGTTTGAGGGACAGAGACAATAGCAGTAACACGGAGATGATGAGAACAACAGACAGGGATGGAGAAGAGGCCTAATGGGTCTGCCTATGCTAGGCTATAAGAATCCTGCCTGAGGGTACGTGGACGACTCATCCACAGTTTGATTCACAGTCTACGCAGGTCTGCAGCCAATCGGACCGGGCTCTACACACCACCCACGCTTCCCAACACAAAGCAAACATAGTTAAGTCACATATAGATTAGTATGAGAAACAGCTACACTGGCCTGCAGCAAGAAAGCCAGGAGTCCGTGTAAGACTGAGGTCCAGAGACCAAGATGGAGGGGGATCCTGTTAGGTGGAATAAAGTATATACTGGGTATAACCATATAACCCCCCGTAGCCTACAAGCTCCACAAGCCAGTGATTGGTTCTTGAACCCATGATGGTTAGCTATCTACAACCCTTTGGCCTGCATAACAGGTTTACACAGACTGATTGCACAGAACTATATGAAGAAAGAGACGGCGGCTGATCGTCAGGAGACCCGCAATGAATAGCTTTTAGCGCGTCTCCTGGTCGCGGGGATCACTAGCACACGCATGCTTCTGGTTTAGGAACAATAGTATGAAATACAGGAGAAACTCGAAGCCAAAGCAAACACAAGCAATCGGATATTAGACCCCAGGAAGGAGGTAGGTAGGTACAGGTAATCTGCCTAAGGTCAGGAATGTGGGCCCGGGTCAGTGACTTTGTCCAATCGGGAAATCCCCATCCAAACTTCTCCAGGCAACTTTCCTCCATGTCACCCGCATCGATCTTCTTGGAAGCAATACTTATCCTTGACCCAGAAGAGTTCTCCTGTTATTACAGGATAGAACAAAACTAATCACACTCGAATGACTTGTTAAAGAATGTCACCCTCATTGCCGTCTATACAGGAAGCTGAAGCTAATCTCCAGACGCGTCCAGCGCAGCCACCGCGTGATGAGGTATCCGGTTCTGGCCTGATGTTATATCCACGGTCGGCCGTTGGATGGAACTCTGCAGAGGATGGCTCGATTCATTCAATATTACGTGATAACTGCCGGAAGCGTCTCTACGTGAAACCAATAGCCTGGACGTCGGACCATCTACAACTTTTAAGGTGTAGGTTCAACTACCGGCCGGCGCGTTCGTGGCCTAAAGAGGAACGAAGCAAACGCCAGCCATTGGAGCCGTCTCATGCTCAAAAGAATGTGGAACAGCAGGCTGAGCGGAGGACTCACGAGTCTCAGCGGCTCCGATACGCAAATAATTTGAAGGTCTTGCTGGCATATCCAAGCTTACTCGGAGGCAAGCAGTCTGCGATTGAGGAGATCCTTGAGGCCTACGACATACACCCCCAAAGGTAAACACCTCGCCTTTCCCACCACTGATGTTAACTGTGCGCTGATGTAGGGTAGATTGGACTTCCTGTCCTTCGACTTCAACCGACGACATGCTGCACACCTTGCAACAGATGGCATTTTCTCGTCTAGCGCGGCTCCTTCAAGCGTTGCTTTTATCACTTTCGACACGATCCAGTCGCTACGCACCAACCACGTTCAACCTCACAAGTCAAAGAGTGTACCCGTCCTCCGCCAAAGACGGAAACGTTTGCAGCTTCTGGGGCCTCCCAATCCAACAGAGGACCCATACGTCATAGCCGTCCTAATTGCCCTGGCTCAAAACCAGAGGCGAGAACAACAGGAACACAAGCAGCAAAAAGAAAAAGGTATGGAACAGGGAGCTCCAGGCGCAGCTCGGTCATTCAAGGTATGTCTCATCCCCAACAGATGGTTATCTCCTCCTAATCCAAGCTCCAAAGGTCCACGTCCTTGCCGTCACATGCGCATCGGCAATGTACCTCTACGTCTACACCGCCAACATCCCCGTGGAATTCCTCGATAAGTTCGACGAACCGTTCCGCTACTCGCCAAGCCGTCCAATCGTGGTCAAATATCGCCGCATCACTATACTAAGAGCATATTCATGGGTGAGGCTACATAGCATACTCTGTACAGGTACATGTAGCTATTGTACCAAGACTTGGAAGGGCGCTATTTAGACGACATAGAAGGCTCTACCTCTGCCGATAATTCGATATCTGAGGGTGAAGCTGCCATGCTAGAGTCTAATCTACATGTCAGAACAGGCGTTGTCTCATCCACACCAGGGAACCCTTGCGCCGGACTACACGCGCTTTTTCCAGTTTAAACGGGCAAGCGTTATGAATCCCGAAATTTTGAGAATGTGCTCTCCTTGTGGACGAGTGCCGATACGACCAGCTACGAAACACTTCTAGCAGCTGGACTGCAGGAAAGATTGCATGCGATGTGTTACAGGCTGTATGATACAATGATTACCACCACGCGTCTAGAAGATCATAGAATTTCTTCATTTAGAGCCGTGTGAGCTCTTAGCTTAATATCAGGAGTGTACTAGGATTCTACCAGTCTAGACTTACTAAGCTGTATATCATGTCTAAACACTTTTCAACCATGCAAACCTGTCATCTTCCATGCGACAAATCCAATCCACCAATGTCCAAAATCACCACCTATCCCCAATAACCCATGCAGTGTCACATCTACTCCTCCGGCGTCTTAGCCAGCAACCGACTCCGTCTTCTAATCCTCCCCCCATATCGATAAAACACAAACGGAATAGGAATCAAAAGCACCTCCACCAACCCCAGCATCGTCCCCGCCCAATGAACCCCCATAGCGCCATACATCTTCGACCCCGCCAGCGGCAACACCCCGCCAAAGAAGTACCGCACAACGGAGTTCCCCGCCAAGGCAGACGCAGCGTAGATCCCGTAGCTACCAGCCAGGTAGTACGTCGTGTAGATGAAGACAAGCCCGTTACCCATCCCAAACGGCACGCCGGCCAGGATCGGCGAGATCCAGTGCACGGGTGGTCGCGCGGTCCAGGAGAACCAGAGCTCGCCGATGGGGATCAGCACGCTGCCGATGCAGATGACGCAGACGGTTGCCTCCGGGGCGACTTGGCCTGTTACTGGGTCGCGGGGGTGGGAGGCGATGAGGCGTCGGAGGAGTGGTTCGGCTGATACGGCGAGGGCGACGCCTGCGCCGATGCCGCAGTAGCCGAGGCCGGCGAGGCCGGGTTCCCAGCCGCGGAGGTCTTGGTAGACGATGGGATACCCGACGAAGCAGAGGAAGAGGACGGAGTAGATTATGCCGATGTAGAGGTTCCAGAAGAGACTGGAATGTATTAGCGTTGCTTAGGGAGTCTGTGAATTCGGGTGGGAAACTGTGTTTGCACTTGTAAAAAAGGGTAGGTCTACCAGATCGGTTCGAACACGGCCATGATGAGTGGCCGGCCGAGGTTGGTCTGCATTATCTGCCACCAGCCCTTATCTCTCTGGTCATCGTACCGCGTCCACCACCGCATGTCTCCCGTCTGCTTCTGCCTGGCGACGCATCGACGCCGCAGAATAGCGGGCGCGTATGTTTCCTTGATGAAACAGAGGGCGATCAAGGCGACGCCGCCGCAGATGAGTACGATCCAGTTGATCCAACGCCACCCCAGGTACTGGTATACGAACCCGCCGATGATGGGCCCTTGATGAGTGGCTAAAGTCAGTCTTGACGTCCATTTCAGAACCTGGGGGGCATACCGAGAACAGGGCCATTCATAGAACCAAGACTCCAAACACTGAACGCCAGCGCTCGATGCTGGGGACTGATGATGTCGTTAAGCGTTCCAGGCGCAATCGCAACCGGACAGCTGCCAAAGAAACCGCCGAAGAATCGGCTCGCCAGAACGGCCGCTAGGTTCGGTGCCAGTGCGACGGGGAGAACTAGCACCACGAATAGAGCCGTCGTGACCAGATAGATCGGACGACGACCGTACATCTCCGATAACGGGGCCAGGACAAGGCATCCTAGCCCTAAACCAAATAGGTACGTCGTCAATCCGAGGAGGGTGATCGTCCGCGAAGCCACATGGAACGACTCCTGGATTCCAACCACCCCAGATGTATAGGCCGTTGAACAAAGGATTCTACGTGATTGGATGTTCTCCGTGAGCTACTATTCTGCAGAGGACGAGTCCACTCTAAGCCACGAGACCGAGGTAGGTAGGAGACTGGTGCGGGAGCCACCCCGCTTCGAACTTACATATTGGTTGTCGAGAACGAAGTTGACCCGACAATGAAGCACTTGTACCATAGTGGATACCGCTGGGGGTTTTCGGCGTCGTTTTCCTCCCACGTAACCTCAAAGGCCGGGTCCTGAGCGGCAGGGGAATAGTCCACGCGATGCTCATCTTTCTCATCCATGTCGGCTCGGGCCGTGTGCGCCTCCAACAGGGCCGACGGTCAGGCAATCCACGCCGCAGGAACTCGACTCTAGGTCTCTTACTTTGAAGATTACTGACGATTCCAGGCCGAGTCGACAGGTATATAGGATGTGAGTAGAGTCGAGTATCCCAATCAATGTAAAGTGTTGAAATACACAAACAGGCTACCTAAGAGAGGAGCGTTCCCCGTCTGGGGATAGCCCCGCCATGCTCCAACTGGGAACGGAATCGCGGAACAGATTCCACCTGATGTGACTAAGGATTAGAAAGACCGATGATCTGCTCCGTTCAGCCTCTTCTCCTCTCATGGATGGTGCCGATCTAACCGGTGCCCTGGCTCTCAGATAACACCTTCATTGGTTGGTGCAATAACGGGCTTAGTTGGCTGGGATCTGAATATCTTGACATTACTGTGGAGGATCGAAAAGGTACGTTGAACTGAATTCGACTGACTTGAAATAGAAGATAGTGGTTTGTGCTGACGGAGGTTAATATAAAAATACATGCACCGTTCGTTTCCATGTTAGCATAACGGCAATCAGAGTACTATCAGCTTGACGGTAAAGGGACTGGGCAGTGGCTAACTCCCTAAAATCCATCCAGATAGCAACGACGATAAAGATAAGAGATAGTGAACTATGCTGAGAATCGTCGTGGCATATCAAGTGATTTCACCGCTTACGGAGTATTCGCACTCATCTCACCACTGTCTCGAGGAGCTCAGGATTGGGGGGGGGGGGGGGGGGGTCTAGATCACGACACGTGGAATACGAGGGATGTTCTACTTTCTACAACCGCAATCTGCAGACACCGTAGAGCGGTCCCAGGTGACGTTGGCGCAGCAATTACAGACACGCGTATACACTCAGTCCACATGGACTGCATCGTCTGCGTAAACCAATCTCAAGCAGTGCTCCTGGTGAAGACACTTATCGCACTGGAGTCTTCGCTCTGCGGACAAGACAAGGCTCGGAAAAAAAATCCACAGGCACCAGTGCAAGAGTAGCGCGGCGAGAATTGACCGAAATGGAATGGAGTGTGAAATGCACGTTGAAGCAAAAAGTTGGTATTGATCGACGCAAGAATCGAAAATCAGGTGTAGCAAAACGCGGGAGCCACACGAACGGCAACCGGGAATCCTCGATATCACAGGCAATTGTATTGTTCCTTCTAATCACCACAAGTGTTCCATCCGCGGGTCGTAGAGACGCAGGCTCGTGCAGCCTGAAAGGCGATAAGAGGAATCCCGATCCCACCCATTCTTGACCAGTCGTTTCTTCGTGTTTATCCTTGGAAAAGCATTAAATTTTTTCTTTTTGGATCCATTCGTGAAGTGAAATCCTGGACTCTAGCACACAAAAATTCAAAGTCCGAATGGTGCGCCGCCATGAGCTGATACCCCCGTGTACTACCCCGAAAATCCCACTCGAATCCATCCTCCTTGGTGGTTGAGCATTCTTAACGCAGACGTCTGGCTTCACGTTCGGACTCGAGCAGGCAAAGGATGTCGTCGACACGGACTGATTGGAGGAATTGCGAGTCAGTTATTGGTGGTCTTTTTCCAACACCTTCCACCGCAATTCGGCGAAAGGCTCAATATGAATCAAAACTTGAACCTACCGGGACCCTTGACGTTACGGATGATCGAACGGCTCTGGTCGTCCATGAACTCAACGCGAACCTGGGTGACACCACCGCGAGAGCCTGCATTCCTGAATTAGCGAAATTTGTTCATGACGGCTCTGGCCTCTATTTCGGAGTTTCTTCGAAGAATCGTACCGGTACGGCCGAGGACTCGCGTGACCTTCACGAGCTTAACGGGAACTTTGGCGGAATCCATGGCGAACGGATGGTTGACTTGCGGTGTTCGCGGGTGAACGTGGGGAGGATGGCGATGTCGAGGGTGGAATCAGCGTCAAGGTCGAGATCGATAGCGTTGTTGGGAGACTCCGGGCGAAAATTCGTGTGTGCGATTCGGCAGGGCTTGGTAAGCAGGAACCCTCGGGAGCCGGATGGATCAGCATTCTTCCGGCTGACTCAGTAGTCACGTGTTTGCTACCTAGCCTAACCGCCTGAGGTATAGCGCCTGTCAGTTCAAGCACACATCATGATTGGCTGTACTAATGCGGGGGGATTAGATAAGATAAGATATCGACATCATTTCATCGCCGTAGTTATCAGGGTGACGATGGAATATCATCCTGGTAGCATGAGACTGGTGAGTATTCTGGATACAGATGCATTTACTACCTGAAATTGTACTGTACTCTTTTTAACCAACTACATACCAAATATCACATGGCAGTCACCCCTCACTCCCCCCTTATCAACCTCCCACTCCCCCTCCCCCTCATCGGCGTCCACCGGATCCCTGACCCCGCATATAATGTTGGAGAAAGGTCCGCACGCAGTTATATAAGAATGACATCGTGCACTCCCAGGGGTATAAAGCCCCTCTATAATCCCATGCACTCCTCACTTTAAAAGCCATTGTGTCATCGGAAACCCAATTATTCGCCATGGATCTCGCAACTCTCGACGTGAGATTAACTCTCCATCCAGACGATTCAATAGTATAGAGAACTGATATACTTCAGACCAGCCAGCACCCCTACCTGCCGGAGGCCGCGCATACCCTCTTCCGCGCCAAAACCGCCAAAAGCCTCAGCTTTGAGCAGATCGCCCAGCACATTGGTCGCAACGAGGTCGCCACGGCGGCTATCTTCTATGGTCAGGCCAAGGCATCCCCGCAAGACGTGCAGAAGCTAGCCAATCTGCTGTCAATTCCCGAGGAACCACTGGTCCAACAGCTGGGTGGTTTTCCCGACCGCGGTCGTTCGGTGGAGATGCCGCCCCGGGAGCCCCTGATCTACCGTCTTTATGAGATTGTGCAGAACTATGGGTATGCGTATAAGGCGGTGCTGAATGAGAAGTTCGGCGATGGCATCATGAGTGCTATCTCGTTTTCGACCAAGGTGGAGAAGGAGACGGATACTGATGGGAACAACTGGGCTGTGATCACCCTGCGTGGAAAGTGGTGAGTTTCTCTATACCATTCTTCAGTTTCAATATGAGCGTACTAATATTTGTAGGCTGCCATTCTCGCGGTTCTGAGTGGTGGGGAGGATGGACTTGGAAGTTTATTGTGATCATCAATGTTCTGTAGCAATGACCACTTAATGACTGTTGTCTGTATTGATAGCTTGTAGTGAAGTGTACTGAGCAGTCACCACATCTCCAGTGATTGTGCCCCGTGACTCGACCTGCTTGTTTTGCTGCTCCCTTATTTACTTCCTCTCCTACCATCTTGAGCTTGTCTTCCACCACCCCCATTACTTGCACACTGGTCATTCTCTTTCTTTTCCCCTCCCTGCCTTCTCTTACAAGCCAGCCATCACTAGAAATAATGACTGCATCCTTGTCAGGCAAGGTGCGCTGCACCTATATTGACTGTCCTCAGGCTTTCTACTCCATCAGAGAGATGAAGAATCACAAGGATGATTTCCCCGAGCACCACTACTGCAAGCGATGCGACGAAGACTTCCACAATGAGGAAAGCTTCATGATCCACAAGCTCAAGAGCACCAAGCACGTCACCTGTCCTGTCTGCGGCATGGAGTTTAACAGCGAGGGAGGTCGCGATGCCCATATTCGCCAGGCAAGTACCTAACTCTCAATAGTAATTTATCGATGTGTTCTAATTTAACCCAATCTCCTGGCCCGACAGAACCACCGCACTCCTCAAGCCATCGTCTGCATCGGCTGCAGTTCCAAGTTCAAAAGCGCCAGCTCCCTGATGCAGCACATCGAGGCGGACGAATGCGAGAAGATCCCCCAGCTGCGCCTGCTGCACGAGCAGTCCAAGAAGCTCATCATGAAGGAATTTTTGCTGAAGGGTGGCCAACACTCCTCGCATCCGGTGATCCCCGAACGTGATAATCTCGACGACCAAGATGGCGGGGTCTCGCTCGCGGGCTGGGATTTCGAGGCTATGGCCTTCCGCCCTAAGCCCACCATCGAGCCCAAGGACGACCAGCCTGATCATGTCGCGAAAGACTCGGCCAACATGGTCTTTGAGCACTGGCCTCTCCCGGGCGAGCGTCTCGAGACCGAGCTCAAGGACTTCCCCAAACTGTCGTTGAACGAGCAGGGCAGCAACGAGACCGATCCGTTCCATGGTAACTTGGTCAGGCTCAAGCCCCGTCCGCTGAAGTCTCCTCAGACGGCCAGTGAGGGTGCAAACACGCCCAACGCCGGTCAGACGCTTCTGTTGCTGGACTCCAAGTGGGATGCCAACAGATTTCTGCACGGCGCCAGCTCGCGCTATATGTGCCCTTGCGGTATGAGCTTTGACGCCAAGGACGAATTTGAGATGCACATTCTGAGGAAGAGCACGGCGACCCGTACCACCCAGTACGCTTTCCCATTCGTTGACTATATTAATTATCATTCCCAATAATTGTATATAGGTGTTGTCTAATAATGATGATAGATGCCCCGGCTGCCTCCGCGTTTTCAAGACTACTGCCGCCCTCATCGCTCATTGTGAATCGCCCAGCACCCGTTGCGACGTCAACGCGGGTGGCCGTTTCCCGCAGATAATCGACGAGCTGAGCGGTGGAGTCATCCAGATGGCCGGGTTTAACCCCGACGGCACCGTGAAGTACGAGGCAGGCAAGTTGGATCTGACGGAGACGACTGTGGTGGGGACCGACTTGCGCAAGTGGTAGCTTGGTTCCGCATTCCTACTTAGTTGTTTTTTGCCTACATGTAATCTTTCGATTAGAGAGGCTGTTACTGGTGTAGGGAGCTTCTCGGGTTGAGGGTCAGGTTAGTTTCTACATCGTCCAAAGGTGAACTGGATGCGTTATCTCCAAAAAGACCATAGTCATCAATACCAGCGTTTTACTATGAGATCAGGTCGTATTTCCTACGTGCAAATGGATTACTCTATGCGTAGACACGGCGAGTAGTATAGTATCTCAATCAACATGTAGATGTCACTACCAATACGGCAAGACTACACTCCCTCCGGGCTTCCAGCAGCAAAATACCAGAGAATATCTCCCCAACCACAGCCAAACTCTTGCCCTCCTACCTCCTAATAAACATGACATCGACAAAACAAAATTCCTATATTCCAAATCCCGATCCTAACAACACTCTTCACAACACTCAAAGCAGAGAAGACCAGTACACCTGTGCAATGACGAGTCAGATTAGTTTCGATCGTGTCATTTCACAGATCATATATGCCACTGCTTGGTAGGATAAAGGAAGCGATAGACACTCACATTCCACAGCACACGTCGCCGGCACCACCGCCTCGCAGCTGAAGTTTGGTTTCTTTCTGCTGTTAATCTTATGAGATATACATTCACATATACATTCCATATCAAGTGAAGACGGGTGGGTGTGGATAGATAGGGAAAGAGAGTGAATACCATCAGGGGCTCCTCCACCTGGTTATTACCAGTAGAAGGAGCCTCCGGACTAACAGGCTGCTTCACAGTCACGGTATCAGCGTCCCAAGTAGGCTCTTTCTGCTGGGAGCCGGAGTCCGAGACTGAGTCTCTCTTGGAGGACTTGAAGAAATCGAGGAAGGCCATGTCTTCATAAATCGTAGTATCGGTAGACTAAGTAGCAAAGAGAACGATGTTGAATAGAAAAAGGCAGTAATTTGAACTAATCCCTAGAGAATGGCTTCCTCGTTTACACACCGACCCTTGTGTCGCCAGAGGGTTACCACCTTACCTATATACCTACATCCCTCAAGTCATTGAAGACTACATTTGTGCAGCTAGGTATACATCCCACCATGCTGTGGGGTGTCTTGTGTCTCATCTCGACCCAATCATGGTAGCTTGATCCCGGATGGCTGCTACGTATTATGGTTGCACATGGGGTGCAATGGTAATATTCTCCAATGTCGTACGGATAATAAGACACAGGAATATCCTAGGCAGCTTCATTTTGAACTAAATGGTGGGCTAAGCTTTGGTTAAGCTTTGCTGAGTATCTGTGGGCACTTCCGAGCTGGGTCTCTTAGGCGACAGCATTTGCTGTTCCAATTGTAACCAACTTCCTATCTGAAGTAACGCTGAGATAGTCAAGAAATTGATAATTCAATAGAACTGACTGAAGTGTAGAATACGAGATATGCGATGAGTAAATAAGATCAAATGATATTAGGTACTTCCTATATAGTACCAATGACTTCCATCGTCAATTCATGCGTCCATGCCGTTGCCGATACGCCAATTCCCAGCAAAACAAGGTACAATGTCTAGTCATACAGGATTCCAAACAAATCCCAGATCCATCCCGTCGAACACGGATCACCACGCTCCCGCGTCAAAATCGAACCGGGACAGCTCCTTTTGCGAATCCTCCACGTCCTTCTTCGCTTTCATTCGCATGTAGAAGATAGGGCAGTCCCGCGACGAGCAGATCACCTCGCAGTGCAAGCTGCCCTGGCACCGCTGGCACTGCGTCCACAGTCGTCCAAAACGCACTTCCAGGTCCGACACCTTGGACAGAGACTTGGTGTACAGCTCCCCGAGACGCGGCTGGCAGTTTTGGCACACGGCCCCCGCCATTTCTTCCTTGCCTGTCAGCGGCTTCTTGCATCCCAGGCAGGTTTGCGTCTTCTTGGCGAACTTCATCAGCCCTCCCATCGTCGGGGCGGCTACTGAGATGGACCGCGTGTGCTCGCCCGTCAGCAGTTGGTTCGCCTTCTTCTCCCCGAGAATCGGTTCGAAGATACGTCCGAGCGGGTTCGCAAGTTGGTTGTCGAGGTAGTACTTCGTGTCGATCGGGATGTTGTTCTCCAGCACGTAGAGCGGGTCCTCCGACCGTTCGTAGTTCTTCGACCCGCCTGCGCCCTTGATAATCACGTACGCCACACGGTCCCCGAGGGTGGGAGCAGAGCCGGCATCGCGCTTGCGCATTCGCTCGGCCAGTTCCACGTGCGCTTGTTTAGCCGTGTAGTCACTCTTCGACAGCGCTTTCGTGATCACCAGCTTGGACATATCGACCTTATTCTGGAGCAGTTCCGAGATGGTCTCCTTGACGTACTGCTGGGCCCCCTCGGGGTCCCGGTCAATGAGGATCCGGTGCAGCACCGTCTCGATGACGTTTTGAACCAGCAAGCAGTTATCGCGGCGCACCGTCTCGATACCCTTCGTGTCCATCTTGTCGAATTTGTTGGGGTTCGTCCAATACAGCCCCGCATATCGCTTTTTGTTGATCAGGAGGTAAGGAAAGTAGACCTTTTCGAACTCAAGCTTGATCGGCTTGATGAATTTAGAAGAGACGTATTCCGACGCCTCTTGTCCAAGTTTCATCGCCTCCTCGAGATCGGTCACTCCAAACTTGACCATGACCGAGTCGGTATCACCGTAAATGACCCGCGCATCGTGCGAATACCCGTTGGCGATCGTGTACTTGGCTTCCACCTCCTGCTTCGTCTTCTCGATCATCTGACGCCCGTAACTGGTTGTACTACTGGCGATTGGCAAGCACGGAAGCTTACCGACAGTAGCACCAGTCAACCCGTAGACACTGTTCGCGCTGACTTTCAGTGCAAGCTGTCGACCGTTCAAGACGGCTTTCTTGAACGGATCGGTCTCCACAGCCAGCTCCTTCTTGGCGCGCTTTCGCGCAGAGAGCAACTCTTCGAGAATCTGCGACAAAAGGCCCTTGCGAACATTCGGCGTGCAGAACATATCACCGTTTGGTGTCACAATATAGTCCTCGTCCTGTTTTAACTTGAACCTCTCAATGCTATTTTTGTTCAAAAGCGTGGTGTAACATAAGTTGTGGGCTTGAATGATGGAGGGGTATAGAGATGCAAAATCAAGGGTGGCAATCGGCACGCGATAGTAGCCTCGAGACGGTTCGATAACCGTGGCGCCTTCGTAATCTTGTTGGTCCGCTGGCTTATCGTTGGGGATGACGAGCTGTTGCTCCAAAGCCTTGCGAAAGAGCTGACTGATGAACTTGACTTGTTGGCCACGCGACAACAGAAAGTTGAAAGGAACCCCCGTTACTCTCGCCATCTCGGTGTAGTTGACAAGGCACATGAGTTTATCCATTAGCCGCTGCGGCAAGTATGCGTCTTTCAGACAGTAGACCGCCAGACGTCTCCGCGAGTCTGGCGTCCCATTATACAGCTCTGTGATCATGGTGTGGTGGACATCTTCCTTTTGTTCGCCCAGAAACTCGTAAGATACCGAGTTCAAGGTGTAGCTTCGCAGGTGGTAGTCTCTCTGGACTAATTGCAAGAGGTCCAGTTGGATTCGTCCGTTGGTATTAGTCGTTTTTGTGTCGCGGTTGCCCATCTGTTTACTCGAAAAGTTCGAGGACGTCGCTTCGGAGCGGATCCCATTCAATCTAGTCCAGTACGGGAAGTTCGTGCATTTGAGGTGTTTCGCGCGGTCCAATAGGTAGGGGAAATCGAAATTGGCAATGTTGTATCCGATGATCACATCCGGATCCACCTTCTCCACGAAGTCACGCCATGCCATGAGCATCTTCTCTTCCTTTTCGAATTCGAGGATCTGCGTGTTGACGATCAAGCTGCACGTATCTAGAACGAAGACATTGCGGATAAAAGGCTTCGATTCTCCGTACCGAGTCACAACGTTGGCTATTTGAATCACGGGGTCTTGGTTCGGCTCGGGGAAGATGCCCTTCCGCCCGGCGCATTCAATGTCGAAGGACAAGACGCGAAGCGGTGCCATTTTCGCCCATTCACCATTGGGCGGGTGGGCAATTAGGTCCCTATAGTCAACGGTAGCCTCGATTTGACAATTTGACATCCTCTCTCGAGGGTCCAGGAGGCGGTACTTTCCGGCTTTTGCCTCGATCCAGGCCATGCCGGAAATATCTGTGTCGATCATGAATCGTAGAAGGTATTGGATGTTATCGAAGGTGAGGATTCCCGAATCTGACTTGTTCCACAGGCCCTTGTAGTTCACGCTCTGGGCTCCGTTCTCCAGCGCGCCCCGCACCTTGCTGATGAATTTCGGCTCGGTCACGGTGATCTTCAGGTAGTAGCTCTTCTGGTTCCCTTGAAACCCATAAATATTCTCCCTCATCGTTATCTGAACGGACTGGATGACCGGGGTGAACTGCCCCAGTCTGCTTTCCAGGAAAGCTCGATAAGGGTCGCAATCATCTTTCGTGAAGCCCACCGGAGCGGCAATATACAGATAATGTTGGAATCCGGTAACGTGTAGCAAGACCGACTGACCAGCCTATCCAAGAGGTTAGAACCGAGCATAACGGGGCGCCGCGCGAACAGTACCTCTGTGACACCAAATAACCGAACGGCTGTTTTACCGCCCAGAATTGTACCCTCCTCCGCGTCGATCTGTTGAAAGCAGACATTCTCCTTTGTCGGGTCAAACGGACCCAGAGGTGGTCGCTCCCACTGCTGATCTTTTTCGGAATTGCTGCCCTTTAGGTCATTTATGTCCTGTGTCAGCTTCTCCAAGACCTCTTCTTCAAACTGGCTCTTTTGCGGTTGGCTGGAGCCCGGCACTTTGCGCTGGCCACTCTGGATGGTCGGGCCCAGCTTTGAAGATGACAATGCATCTAGTTTCCGTTTTTTCATTGTACTGGGGGAGCTCTGGACATTGCGCGGGTTGTTGGTTGCGTCACCTAAAACCCGCTTCTGGGGCGTGGCAACGGCTTCAGTCATGGTGGAGAGTCATATACGACCAACAAGGGGTAATGGTGGAGTGGATTGGGATCAATTCAGCAGGTAGTATCAGGCGACTCAATATTGCCGGGGGTTCAAGCTTCAGTATTTGGCGACGTCGACACAATTCCAGCGCGGACAAAATGCGCTTCCTGTTCCTGCGATGCAAGTTCGTGTCTTGGTCGCGCTGGACGTGACACCTCTTTACGCGTTGGCTGCGGATCACGTGTGATTGCATTGCATTATTAGATAATCTGCACATGTATGACGGTATGACGGTATGGCGGCCTGAGGCAGAAGTGCGGCCCGTCCATTTTTTCGAGTCACAAGTCGACTTGATTGGATCTCCATCTGCAATTCACTGCCAGTCAGGACAACCGCTGGACTGAACACCTGGTCTCAAATCCACAGTGGAACACGTTTTGGAGTGGACAGATGTCTTGAGCAGCTGAACGACTGCCTACCTACGCCTTGTCAATGACATTGCATCGATCAGGCTTAGAATTCGATGGAAGCCTGCCGGTTGTCCAAGTGACCCATACTTGCTAACGCGGATCTGGCCAGTAGTTTCATTTTTCAGACTGCCCTTTTAAGTCCGCCTGTCCCTTCTATGCACTGCGTGAAGGAAAGATTTCTACCATGGTCAGAAGAGATAGGCCTTTATGAATATTTTGAGATCACATTCGGGACAACTTCCAGCACTCTCTTCGTTGTTGTATCCGCACCCGCAGTATACTATGCATGAAAGCTGCTACTAGAGGCGCCCCAACCGTCTTCGATCCACGTGCCGCTCAAACGTGCTTATGATAGTCAAATGTTACTATTTCCTAAACAGTCGGAGAAGCTATTGCCAAGATGTCAATGTTCAAGTCGGCAGCAGATAATTCTTCGTCTGACGAGCAGCCTAGCTTTGACGAGAGCGAGCACCATGTGGTTGCGAGCACAGATCGCCATGCGGGGTGTAGACCTCAACTCTCGAGGCGGCGCACAAGTCCTCCGTCGCTCCACGCGGAAAGTCAAGAATCCCAAGCCGATGAGCCCAAGGACGCCCTAGATGTTGATACCGAAGGCCATGCCAACTACATGACCGCCGCGCTTCTTGAATTTTACTGCATGTCTCGGGCAGCAGACATGCTCAATGCCCAAAAGGATTCACATAAACGCTTCACGAGAGATTCTCCAGAGGTACAATACCTAGGGAAGAAAATGTACTCGTTCAAGTCACGGTTCCTGTCTTCGGTTGGTGTCTTGGCGGATGGGGTTGAGAAAGACGAGTTGCGGTCAACAAGGCAGTATTATCGTGATACGCTGGACATGATTGGGGCTTCAGCCTTGGATGATCTCAAGTTGGATGATGCCCACGCACAGACCCCGTCCATAGGCGGTCCGCAAGATGTGGTACTAGCCTCCAGGCCGCCGGGGGGTATGCCAATTCGTCCTGATAGCCGATCCGCCGGTTTTGCACAACATCCGAGGAACCGCCGACCCGATATTCTGGATATCGAAAAGCTGCTTACGAGTGGAAACGATATCGGCATGGGTCGTCAATTGGAAAATATCCATCTCGATCCGGCGAACTGGCCTATCCAACCATCACCCCTCATAGAAAGCTCCCCTGCAAGTTTTCCACTGTTCAGCGGAAACCTGCCACCTCCAATCAATCGCTTGTCTCGCTATGCAGTGGAGTTCTCGGAAGTCAAGTTTCTCGGGCGTGGTTCGTTTGGTGAGGTATATCATGTCAAGAACCACATTGATGGACAGGACTATGCGGTAAAGAAGATCCCACTTAGCCAAAAACGGCTCGAGCAGCTACAGCGTGGGGGTGGAAATCATCTCGAAACGATCATGAAAGAGATCCGAACCCTCGCTCGCCTGGAACATGCCAATGTCGTCCGGTATTACGGTGCGTGGGTGGAACAACATCAGGCTCCTAATCTCCCACCCGCGTCCCCGCAGGCCTCCATTGATTGCACGTTGGAATCGACTCGGAGTAGCTTGGCTGGCCCAGAACCGACCGACAACCAAAGCTTCGGGGTTGTTTTTGAATATTCAGAGAATTCAGCCCAACCGTCGGTGGGAGAAGCATCGCACAGCTCTAGTCGATCACAAGACGGCCTTCTTGATACCCCTCCAGTGCCGCGTCGGAGGAGGATGAGTTATGTTGAAAGCGTCGATGAAAGTAGCGGAGAGGTCGAATCGATCCCGCGAAACTTCAGCAATGTTAGCCACAGTCAGACATCCACATTTGTCAGTGACGATGATGACAATGACGACGATATTTTCACCGACGGATTCAGTCATAACCCGTCAAATATGCAAATACAACGAACTTATCAGAACGGATCCCAAATCCCCGCCGTCGTACTTCACATCCAGATGTCACTGCATCCCCTTTCGCTCGGTTCGTACTTGAATCCACAATCGCCCCCCAGTGAAGAGGCGAATAATCCTCTACCACGACGCCACTGTTATCATTTGGTGCCCTCGTTGAAGTTGATACTGAGCATTATCTCTGGCGTCGAATATCTCCACTCCAAGGGAATCGTTCACCGTGATCTAAAGCCCGCCAACATCTTCCTTTCGTCTCCAGAAAACCGACAGGTCGAGTGCTGCTTCTCATGCCAGTTGGGAAGTGAGAGTGCGTCTCGGTACTGCAATCCCCGGATTGGAGATTTCGGTCTCGTGGCAGACATTTCTCATTTCAATGAGCAATCTCCGCAAAGCCCCACCACCACACCCCAGGGCGACCTGAAGTTCAATCGCGTTGTGGGAACAGAATTCTACCGCCCACCGTTGAGTAGCAGTGGGATTGGCACTTCCAGCAAAGATGCTCCTTTCGGGAAAGACACGGCTTGGTATATTATTGACGAGACGCTGGATATATTTTCTCTGGGCGTCATACTATTTGAGCTCTTATACCGCCTCGGCACCAGGATGGAACGCCAACTTGTCCTATCGGAATTGACGAGAGGCTCATCTGCTCATTCGTCTACTAGCTCGTCGCCTAATGCACCAATATTCCCTGCGGACTTTGCACAGAAGATCGACCAGGGCAACGCCATGCTACCTTGTGGGATGTCTATAGCAGAGTCATTGATGACCTGTATTCGACAAATGTTGAATTACCATTCCCATCAACGTTGGAGTTGTGTGGATGTCCGGAAGCACTTGGAGATGCTTCTCGCTTCCGTCGACAAACGTTGATGATCTGAACATTTTCTTGACGCAGCGGTTTCGCGGTTATACGTATTGCATTGTTGGTGTCATTTAGAAGGATATCGTGTTTTGAGGAATTGGTATTTAGCTTATGGGAAAACTCGTGTTGGGCTACTACTTGTTGACCGAGGGCCGAACGAACGAGGTGGAGGCGATACAACATACGGAACCATTTTATTTTTTTTTCTCGCCTCTCCGATCGCGCATTTCATAGCATTTCATCTACTTAATTATGAATTTTGTTTTCTTATTCATTAATCTTGGGTTTTTTTGTGGAGATTAGAAAAATGAAGACATGCCAAGCGCATGAGGAGTCCGCGGGCCTCGGTCGGTTGGAAGTTGGTACATTTTCCCCGCATGATGGACGATCAGATCGACATAGGGTCGGTTCGCGTTTGAATAGGAATCTCCAATTTGAAGGATACCCGACCAGGAGATCTACGTCTACTTGAACTGAGCCTTTCTGGGATGGTTAACTGAGCTCTCATTTCTTTCTCCGTTCCATTTCCCTGGTTTTTGCATCCCCAGCATCATGTCGCGCACCGACTTCTCCCCAACAGCACCCTACAGCGAGCCTTTGCTTCCTCAATTGGACGTCCAAAATCCATACTACACCGAGCTCCACTACAACCTTCGGGCCTGGGTGCGGAAGTATGTCGAGGAGAACATTGCGCCGTACGCTCACGAGTGGGAGTCTGCAGGCCAGATACCCGAACCGGTTCGCCAACGCCACTGCCAGCTGGGGTTTGGGATAGTCCACCCCCTGACGACGGTCGAGGATGCAGCCGGACTATCCCTTCCAGGGAATGTGCCGCGGGAAAAGTGGGATACGTGGTGTAGCCTGATCCTGGCAGACGAGATTACACGCGTTGGTTATGTCGGCGTCTCCTGGGGGCTGGGCGGCGGTAATAGCATTGGGTGTCCGCCTATTGCGAAATTTGGGACGCCGCAGCAAAGACAACGATGGCTTCCCAGGGTTGCGAAGGGGGAGATTCGATTCTGTCTTGGGATTACTGAGCCTGATGGTGAGACCATACACAGGACTATGGGAGGTAGATTGGGAAGTTTTGTTGGCTGACGGGGAACATTACAGCGGGTTCGGACGTCGCGAATATCTGTACCACTGCCAAACGTGAGGGAGACCACTATATTGTCAACGGATCGAAGAAGTGGATCACGAATGGTATCTGGGCCGACTATTGTACGGCTGCGGTCAGGACCGGAGGGCCTGGGAAATCTGGGATCAGCCTGCTGGTGATTCCTCTATCGGCTCCCGGGGTGACTCGCAAGAGGATGCACAACTCGGGTGTGAATGCTAGTGGTGAGAAACTGGCCGCTTCTATAATATTTGGGTATTGGATGCTAACGACGAGGTCCAAACCAGGTTCAACATTCATTGAACTGGACGATGTTCGAGTCCCGGCTGACCACCTGATCGGCGAGGAGAACAACGGTTTCCCTCTCATCATGTCCAGTATGCAGACACCAGCAGTCACATCTTCCCATTTTCAATACTGATATTCCACCCAGACTTCAACCCCGAGCGTCTCTCCCTCGCCTGTGCATCCTTGCGCCTCGCACGCGTCTGCGCAGAAGACGCCTTCAACTACGCCGTGCAGCGCGAGACCTTCGGCTCCCCACTAATCCAAAAGCAAGCGATCCAGTCCAAGATATTTAAATTCGGGCTCATGATCGAACCCGCGTACGCATTCATGGAGCAGCTAGTCAACATCGTCGAGCAGACCAAGAACCGGCCGACAGACGATGTCCGAATCGGGGGCATGACGGCGTTACTCAAGGTGATGTCCACCCGGGCTCTAGAGAAAAGCGTCCGCGAAGCCCAGCAGATCTTTGGAGGCGCTGGTTACAACAAGGCTGGCAAGGGAGCACGCGTGGAGCAGATTAGTCGTGATGCCCGTGTCCATGTCGTTGGCGGCGGTAGCGAGGAGATCATGATGGGTCTTGCTTTGCAGGAGGAGACGAAGGCGCTTCGCACGAGGCGTAAGGCTTTGGAGAAAGCGTCGCGGTTGTAATCTGTGGGTAGATGTGTACCTTTTAGTATATATGGTGCTATTCCTAAATAGATTGGCTGTTGGCCAATTGTACGTTTTGTGCTTATAGAGAGATCTTGTTTCCTTTGCATCACTATCGACAAAATCAACTAGATCCTGATTGTACACATAACCATTACCCTAATGCCTTGGCTTGTACTATTCTGTCCCAAAGCTGTACAACCTTGCGCTGCGTCCTGAACCAGGGAAGGGGCGACCTGGCCGCCACATCACTAGTGCGGAATCCAACTCGAAAAGAGAAGAAAGAAGGAAAGAAGGAAAGAAGGGAGCAGAACAACAGAAGGAACGAACGAAAGAAAGAAAGAGCGAAAGAAAAAGGAAGAGACTCTCCAAAAAAGATCATTCCTGTTAAGTTCAAACATAAGCCCAAGGGTCATGATGCTCCATCTTCTGCGCCTCCAGCACCTTGATTCGCTTGCGGATCTTGTCGATATGCCCTAGAATATCCTCCTCGGCCAGCTTCAGAAGCTCCAGATTGTCGAACGCATCGGCGCCGAGGGGGAATGGAACAGCTACTTCGCGACAGGGCGGCGTAGCAGAGCTGGAGGCCTTTTTGATATTGGGGGGTGGTCTGGTAATGGCAGGAGACTGTGCGATAGGAACGGTTAACACATCGCCTCTTGTGCCCTTAAAACACCCATTTTGCAGTTCCTGCTTCACGACTCTTGGTTGAGACAATTTTCCCCTTTGTGGTGGGACATAGGTCTTGGATAAGGCGCTCTTGTTTTTCTCAACTGTCCCAGCTGCCTTAGGGGCTCGTCTTGTGCTTAAGGCCGACTTCTGAACCGCGCCATTTGCCAAGCCTGTAAGCAGCAGCAAGTCCTCGTCATCGCTCCCATCGTTGCCCACCAACGAAGATGCAGCTGTGGTAGAGGGCTCGTAGTTGGGGTCGTTGTAATCTTCAGGCTCATGGATAGTCGGCAATTCGTCTTCAATGTCAGACGAAACCAGGGGGACTAGTGTTGACAGGTCAGTAAAACGCATAGTAGCTACTGTCATGAGGAGCCACGCATGAGGTGTCACTAACGTAGACTACAAGGATAGCGTCGACTGTACCAACAGTTGGAGCAATAACCGTTGTGTTTCGCGTCTGGGTTGAGAGGGTCCGCGATGACAACGCAAGACTTCCAGGGCCCCTTGCCTGTCCTGCAAAAGCTGCACGGTTTCGAAGCTTCCTCGCCCCGCGTATGTCCAAATGCAGCTACGAAGCTTGTTCCGTCTTTCAGTTCCCTCCTAATAGGATCGCCAGTCGCGTCGACCCGCCAGTCTAGCTTACGGACCACGGGAAGTCGGCTGAAGTTCTTCGCGATGCCATTATCGGGGTTGATGAAAGGCAGTCCATCACTGCCGACGCCGGTAATAACTACCAGCGGTGGTATAAATTAGTATTTGCTCCTTGTATGCTCGACCGTCAGGGTAGGGTCCTACTTTCGAAGGCCCGGTTGGATTTCTTCATCTTCTGACGACGGCATGGGGAGAGTTCTTCATCTGCGGGACGTTTCTGGCTATTGATAAAGATGCCAAGTAAGTCGTTGTATCTTTTTGTCAGGTTGGGACTGAGATTATGTGACAAATAGGTACTCATCCTGGCTGTTGTGGAGAAGTTGGGGGAGATGGAGGGTTACAAGGAGACGTGTTGACGTGTTGACCGGTGCGAGAAGTCTCGGCGCTGGCACACCAGGATGAAGGGAGACTATGCTTAAGTGACATATACGCAAGTTGCATAATGTTCACTCCATGGATGTGATACGGATTGTTTGGAAGAAGTGATAGTCCATGAAATGATTATAAGAGTCTCTTACGGGGCTATATGGGAGTTGTTACTACTATATTATCTAAAAACACTGCATAGAGAGAGCCATAGTCTTATATAATAGCTTGCCATTGGTTATTATGTTTGTTACGAGAATCTGGACAAAAGATAGGAGAGTAAGTGTCAACAATTAGAATATATATATATTGGTTTTTCCATTGTTGATAAATGTATATCCCTCGTAGACCGGATACCACCTATCGACATCATAACCTGCTTAGCTATTTCGCAAAGTACGTACTCATACATCAAACCACACCTCATTTTCTTTATTAGCAAGTCAGCGCAATAGTACTCGAGACTGATCTCTTCCATGATCCTAGTATAGAGAGGTGGTGATGATTGACGTCATCCGGCAGATCCACCAAGGCGGTAAGGAAGCACACCGATAAGCCCCCAAAGCACGTGGGGAAACTAGACAGACCGACATTAGCGAAACATCTTCCTCCCTTGCTCACCCGACTTGGCTTGCATAGTTCTTTGTTATATTCCTGCAGTTCACGATACTGGTTGATGTGATGGATCCGGGGGTACCTCTATAAGCTTACTGCCGTTGGAGCTTCCTAGCCATTCTGGATGATGGAGAACATCAATGAATCGCGTCCCCAAGAGGCGGCGGAAGAAAGAGGCTCTGCATTTGGAGACGACAGCTCCTCGCGAGACCCCTCTTTTGCCGATGTTACTCCGGCGGAATCGCTATCAGACCGCCATGCGTTGATTACAGACACCCCGTTGACGTCCAGCCAGAAATTACCGGAAGAACCCCCGGATGCGTTGGCTCGGAAGCCATCTGACCAAGAAGACTACTCCCGACTTGCTGCAGCTGTCCCGTTCGGTCCGCTACCATACAAACCAGCCCCCGTGGCACCAATCAGTGATACTGGTGGCGATGAGGAAGACGAGGAGCCTCAGGTGGCAACGTCGTTCGAGCGCGATTCGACCCCGACTTCGGCCCAGAAGCATCGCTCGGTCTTCTTTGACACGGGCGACGAAGGGATCCAGAGGATGCATAGATTCTCGCTGCACGAGACGGCGACACGGTTCTACGTGGTCGGGATGGACCTGTCGGATACACGGTTCAGGATTCTGAAGATTGATCGGACCTCGGATGGCGGAGATCTGAGTGTCTCGGATGATGATATTGTATATACGAAGAGGGAAATGAGCCAGCTGTTGGATGCTATAGACGACGGGAACAAAAGTACCGGTGGTTTGAAGCTGAAGTGCAGCGCTTGGGCCCTGCTGGGGTTTATCCGCTTGACAGGGGCATACTACATGCTTTTGGCCACAAAGAGAAGCCAGGTGGCCATGCTCGGCGGCCACTATGTCTACCAGATCGATGGGACTGAGTTGATCTCACTGACGACGTCGAACTCAGCTCGTGCCAAGCCGGAGAAGAACCCAGAAGAGGCGAGGTATATTGCAATCCTGAACAATCTCGACTTGACGCGCTCCTTTTATTTCAGTTACTCTTATGACATCACCCACACACTGCAGCACAACATCTGTCGAGATCGCAAACTCCATCGGGATGGGCACCCGAGGCATTTCGAGCAAGACTACAACACGATGTTTATCTGGAATCATCATCTGCTTGGTCCGGCAATGGAGTCTCTTAAGAAACCCTACGACTGGTGTTTACCGATCATCCATGGATACGTCGACCAATCGAAGATGTCGGTGTATGGGCGTCTGGTGTACATCACCATTATTGCGCGCCGGTCCCGTTTCTTCGCTGGAGCCCGCTTTCTGAAAAGAGGTGCCAACGACCTGGGCTATGTAGCCAATGACGTCGAGACTGAACAAATCGTGTCGGAGGCGACCACAACCTCGTTCCACGCCGCGGGTCCACATCTCTATGCCAACCCGCAATACACTTCATACGTCCAGCACCGCGGGAGTATTCCACTCTACTGGACGCAAGAGAGCTCTGGAGTCTCACCAAAACCGGACATTGAGCTGAATCTCGTGGATCCGTTCTACTCCGCAGCCGCGTTGCACTTCGACAATCTGTTTGAGAGATATGGCGCCCCAGTTTATGTTTTAAACCTCATCAAATCTCGAGAGCGGACGCCTCGCGAGTCCAAACTACTTAAGGAATTCACGAATGCAATCACCTATCTCAACCAGTTTCTCCCGGACGACAAGAAAATCATCTACCAGCCCTGGGATATGAGTCGTGCTGCCAAGAGCCGTGATCAGGATGTCATAGGGATTTTGGAGCACATCGCGGGCGAAATCATACCGAAGACAGGCTTCTTCCAGAACGGATACGATGTCGAATCAGGCCTGAGGCTGCAAAATGGGATCGCGAGAACGAACTGCATAGACTGCCTGGACCGCACGAACGCCGCCCAGTTTGTGGTGGGAAAAAACGCGCTGGGGTATCAGCTTCACGCACTGGGCATCATCGAAGGGACAACAGTCGAATACGACACGGACGCCGTCAATCTCTTCACCGACATGTGGCATGACCACGGCGACACCATTGCCATCCAATACGGCGGCTCTCACCTGGTCAACACGATGGCCACCTACCGCAAGATCAACCAGTGGACCAGCCACTCGCGCGACATGGTAGAGAGCTTCAAGCGATATTACAACAACTCGTTCCTGGACGCCCAGCGCCAAGAAGCATACAACCTGTTCCTGGGCAATTACGTCTTCTGTCAAGGCCAGCCCATGCTGTGGGACCTATCAACAGACTACTACCTCCACCACTCGGACCCCCGCTCCTGGTCGACCATGAAACGGCCAAACTATATCCGCTGGTATACGCCCGCTCACCTCGAGGACCGGGAACTGCCACCTCCGCCACGGATCCCCGCGGAACCCCTCTCCCGCTACGACGACTACTGGCTCGAATACTACCGCCCGCTGGCAGTCTCCTCGTTCTCCAAAGTCTTCTCCTACAAGATGAAGTCCGCCCCTCAATACCTCCCCATCCGACCCACACCAGGCACGCAGAACGAGCTCAGCCCCTTCGTCGTCCGCATCCCGCACGAACAACAAGCAAACCAAGACAGACACCACCCCCACCCCCCAAGGATGGTCAAAATCCAAGAACCCGACCCCACCGCCAGCTGGGCCAAGAACCCACCCCCAACAGACAAACAGCGCCCCGCCAACGGCATCATGAAACCCACTACCACCACCACCAGTACCATCACCCACTCCACGGGTCCCGCATCCTCCTCCTCCAACACCAACACCAACAACAACAACACCAAACCCACCACCATAAACTCCACAACAACAACAACACTAACCACGCCCAGCAAAGCCCAATTCGCCCAATGGACGCTCAACCACCTCGTAACAGACTCCCTCAATCCCTCGGTCACGCACACCGAAGCCGAAGAATACGAGCGCTACATCAACCACCCACTGCGCGTCCCACTCGTCGTATCCTCCGAGGACGAACTCACCGCGACATCCATCCGCGAGAACGCCACGAACCTCGACCTCCTCGAGTACGCTAATAAGTGTAACGTCGAGGAGGGCGCGCTGGAAGCCAACGCCGAGGAGAATCTCGCTGATTATAGCGAGTTTCTTAATGTCTCTGACGGGGGGTTGACTGTTGTTGCGGAGGATTATGAGAAGAAGAGGTATAAGCGGTATCGGCAGTGGCTGAGGGGGAAGAGCTTGTTTAAGCAGCGGGTTGATGTGTAGATATTTGTTCTATTTGGTGGTGGTTTGTGTATATCTACATGTTCTGATTTTATACTTACGATTTAATGACCTTTTCAATGAACGATACCCATGACGGACATGATTGAATTCCATGGCGAATCCTCCTAGTACAGTCGATTATCCTAATAGCAGTGATACAATCTATTACCCAAACAAATAAAAGAGTAAAACACCAAGACACCGAGCATACTAGGCCGATACGTAATGGTCCAAAAAGTCCCCACTCAAGGATCAATGCCAAAGAACTCCGCATCATGGGCATCGATAGGTTCAGTCAGCAGAGTGCCCAAAGCCTCATCAGCATCAACCAGTTCCTGCATTTCGCTAGCAATGCGTTCCTGGGCAACTATCTGCTCCTTTGTGCCGTCCATCTCCCACGGATGCTCGAGGACGAATTTCAATAGATAGGCCACACCGCGGAGCTCCTTTTTGAGGCGCTTGAGCTCGCGGGCCCTTATAACATCTAGGGCGTTCTTGTGGCCTTTCTGGGCTCGCTCCGTGATCTCCGCTTCCTCGTTTAGCACGTTTAGCCAGCAATAGCACAGCCCCGCTAGGAGCTCGCCGCGCCAGCGCCAGAGACGGGGGTGTGCGTTGAGGACGACAACGCGGGCGACGGCGACGGCTGCGAGGAGTAGAGGTGGGTGTGCTGTGGCGAAGGGGTTCGTCAGGGTGTTGTAGATGGGCGGGATGACGTCCTGGAGGTATTTGGTGCTGTGGATGCCGAGTTCTTGGAGAGCGGCGGAGGTCTGGTTGAGCAGGACGGTGGACAGGCGTGGGTATGGGAAGGAGGGTCCGTTGCCTGAGATGGTCGTGGTGTTGGTGGAGCTGACGTGGGTGAAGGAGGCGAGAAGGTTCTCGCGCAGAGTGGTGGCTAGACGTTTGGTGTAGGCTTCTTCGGCCTTTTTCTTGGCGTCGGCGGTGGTGGCTGGCGAGAGGTTCTGGAGCTCGATCGCCATGATGGAGAGGAGGGCCGGGTAGGCTGCGCTGAGGAGCTGAATGGAGTCGTCCTCTGGGGTGATGGTTGGTAATGATAGGAGACAAGGCCTGATGGCGTCTTCGAAGACGGAGGCGAGGTTTGT